CATGCAGCAGCGCCGCGGAAGGCGCGGCGGCAGACGGCTGCGGCAGCAGGCGCCGACGTCAGCGGCGCCGGCTGAACGATGGGAGGCTCCATGCCGCAGAGGCGCCGGCACCGGCGCTGACGGTGGCGATGCTGCTGGAGTGTTACATGGCGGCAACGCTGCCATGGCGCAGAATCAGCTGCAGCCGCTGCCGCTACCGCTACCGCTGCCGCCTCCGCCAGAGCCGTGTGATGCAGCACTCAGAGCTCAGCTACCCCAGCTCCTGCCACCACCGCCAACGCAAGTCGTACAGCCCTTGCAACCGTCGCCTGTTCGTGCGCTACCTGGCATCCCCGCCGACATTACCGTCGCCGCAGGCAATAACGGGGTTGCCGTTGGGGCCGGCACTGGCGGGGGAGCAGCTGTCATGACTCCGGGCAGTACCCTAGGCAGCGGCAACAGCGGCCCTGGGCTCACATCGCTCGCTGCAGCATTCAGCGCCGCCGCCGCAGCCGCGGCAGCAGCAGCAACAGCCGCCACCGGCGGCAGCAGCAGTAGCGTAGGGCTGACAGCCTTCGCAGCAGCATTCAGCGCCGCTACCGGCACTTGCTCGCCAAGGTTTGGGCAGGGCCTAGGTTCGGGATCCACATCCAAGTCTGACGCGGCCGGCGGGCCGGGATCTGGGTCGAAATCCACAGCCGGGCCGCTTGCACTGGTCCCGGTTGGCGATGAGCCCTTGGCGGCATTAGGAATGGGAGCTCCTACACAAGTCATTTCAAACGATCATCAGCTTCAACATCAACGTGAAGTCTCCGTCGGGCAAGCGGTGTTACCGCTGCCGTCAGGGCTGCTACTTGCGGCGCCGCCACTGCCACGTGCACTACCAATGTGCCTTCCGCCTTTGGGGCACCGCGAAGCATCCCTACCACCCCAGACCGTTGGAGTTACAGCCGCCGCCGCCGCAACTCTGGTACCGGGTAGCAGTAGGGCTTCAGTGATCGCATCGGCGCCGTTTTGGAGGTACGGCATGCATGCAGCGGCGTACGGCAACTCATGTGGCGGCGCTGGGGAAGGTGCTGCCACCGCTGCTGCTGCTGCTGCTGCCGCCCGGATAGCGGCGACGCCGATGCGGCCATGTCCCTTGGGCCAGTCTCAAACCTCGTCACAGGCACTGCTGTCGCAGGCGGTTGCTCAGGGTGCGCAGGGGCAGGCGTGGCTTGCAACACAGGGGCATGCGGTCTGGAGGACACAACAGGCGGTGCAAGTGCAGGAGCCGCAGGGAAACGCCACGTCTCAAGGACCGGGGCCGGGGCTGGGGCCTATCCCTTATGGCAACCCTGCCGGTGCTGGTGGTGGCATGCATCCCTCCCCCTTCCCAGTTTCCGCCGTTCCCTCGGCTGCTTTCCTGCCTCCTAGTTTCCAGGTGGCAGCAGTCATGGAAACCCCTCTGCTACAGTTGCCCTTCCAGTTGCCATCCTTACAGCCGCAGCCGCAGCCGCTGCTGCCCACGCAGCCTGTGCCTTCGTCGCAGCCTCCCGGGCGCTCCCTGCATGTGACTCATGGGCCTGACGTGCCATGCACCGCGCTACAGCTCCGTAATCTCCATTTGCACCCCGCGGGGCCCTCACCACTCCTGGAGCTCGCCTCCCGCCTGCCGTCAACGCAGTTTGTGGAGGCGACGGTGGATGTCCTTCCGCAAGACATGCAAGGGGTGGAAGCCATACCGGCAGCCGTGGCCCATGCAACTCCCTTGCAGCGGGCGACTCAGTCGCTGACCCCTCAGAATCCGCAGTCGCCCGCAGAGCAGCAACAACAGCAGCAGGAGCTCATGTTGGCTATGCAGCTGCCGGAGGAACGACACGGCTCACGACATGGAGAGGGACCTCAGCAGGATGATCAGGAGGAGGAGCAGTATACGTCCTCTCCACCGCCTTCTCCACCACCTTCTCCATCACCATCGCAGCAGAAGCAGCAACAGCAGCACAGCACACCGCAGCAGCACCCACAAGAACGCCAGCATGCAGCTGCAGTGAATTCCCAATCGCAATCGCAACATTCACCCAGCGTGATCACCATAGCCTCCAGCACCCCTACCTCCTCCTCCTCCGTCACCATTTCTATCACGGGTACACCCACTCCGGCCAGCGGCGCTATGCCATCACTGGTTGCACCGCCGCAACAGCAGCGTCACCCGGTTCACGCACTTCACGAAGGCATGGAGGCAGAGGCAGAGGAAGCGGAGGAGGAAGCGGGAGTTGGGGATGAGGATGAGGATGGGGATGCACCGCTGGGTGGAGGAGGGGCACTGCAGCCGCAGCACCAGGAGCAGCAGCAACGTGAGCAACACGTGCGGCAGCCCCAACAAGATGAGGAGGACTTGGAGGGAATGGAGAGAGATGTGGGGCTGCTAGTCGTTCCGCCCGACCTGCAATTGCGGCTCTTTGACAACGAGTTCGAACAGCGAAGGAGATGGCAGCGGCAGCGACAACGACGACGGCAGCAGCAAGGCGGCGACCCATGGGTCAGCCCCCATCCCAGCAGGAGGGGGGCGGAAGTTGAAGTGATCGACCTGCGGGATAGTCCGCCGAGCGGGGTACCCCAAGTGCGCATGCGGAGTGATGCGGAAGCACGAAATTGGGAGCCGCAGACCAATCCGCAGCCTCTGGGCGAGTACGAAAGATCGTTGGCGCGCCCCGAGATGCGACACCGGCGGGAGGATGGACAACAGCAGCAGCAATGCCAGAAGCAGCCGTACCAACAGCAGCACCAGCAGTATGTGGGAGGGTCGCAACTAGCCATGCCAGCCACGCAGCAGGAACCGGTCGACGGCGGGCCAGCCGGAGCCGGCGCGGCTCCTTCCGGTACAGCAGCTGCCGTACGGTTGCCAGCTGGTGCCGCTTCTACAGCCGCCACCCTCGGCGGTGTCACCGCCGAGGGTGGCGGCAACGGCCGCTGTAGCCCTGTGTATGCCGACGCCGCGTTGGCCGCTGTTACCCCGGCAGCAGCAGCGACGCATGCGCTGCTCGCTACGCAGCCGATGGAGCAGGAGCAGCAGCTGACCCGCGGGTCACAGCGGCAGCTGCAGCAGCGGCTCTTGGAGGCGTCGCACCCGCTCCAACTCTCGCAGCCCTCCCCAACACAGCCCTTGCGGCATGCGGAGCACCTCCTTCACCACCACCACCACCACAACAACAACAACAACAGCGACCAAGAAGTCTACCATCATCAGCAGGTTCAAGGGAGCCCTGCAGCTCCAGGGGTTGTGGGCGGCTCGCTCCCTCCCGCGCCCACGCAAACCCTGATGCCGCCGCCGCAGCAGCTGCCACCACAACCACCATCGCGACGCACCCTGACGATCGAGGCACTTCCGCGGGCGCATGTGTTCCTGAATGAGCCAGCAGCAACCCAGCCTGTGCTCCCGCTGGTACTGCAGACGGACCCGAACCAAGACATGACCGGGTATGATGCGCCGGCGGGGGCGGTTGATGCGGCGTACACGTCGACGCAGCCGCTACTGACCCATGGGTCAGGTCTGGAGGTAGCACCGCCGTTGCCTCCGCAACTGCTCATGCAAGCGGCGTTCCAAGCGGACATGCTCCCTTCAACGCAGCGAATGGAGGACCCGCTGCAGGGAACCCAGGACGTTACGGAGGGTCTGCAAGCCGAACCGTTCTTCGGCCAGTTAGGCCAGCCGGCACCCACTGTCTTACACACGCAGCCGCTGCCTTCCGTGACGCTGGCGTTGTACGACACCCATGCAAGCGGCAGCCGTGGCGGCGGTACTAGTAGCGCTGGTGGGGGCGGCACTGGGTCAGGTGCTGCTGCTGCTGCTAGCGACTCGCAGTGCTGGTGCAGTGATGAGGATGTTTGGCGGCTAGGGCAGGGAGCCGCTGCTGTTAGCACTGCCGCTGCTGTTCCTAACGCTGCTGCAACGGACGCCACTCCGGACGACGCCAACGACGTCCATGTCAACACGCTCAGCGCCTTGGAAGCACAGCCGACTCCATGCCATAACCCTGCACACCCCCTTCCAGGGGCAATCGGTGGCAGTATTGTTCCTGGGCAGGCCTCCTTGTCAACCCCTGCAAAACGGGGCATGCTGGTCCTGCAGGCTGCTGCAGCTCCTCCTCCTGCGTTCAGCGTGCCTAGCCTGCACCTTCGGAGGCGCCCTTTGACGGTGGCAGATGCCGTACGAGCTGCCCTTGAGGATACGCCGCCATCGGCGTCAAAAGATGCCTCGCCGGTTGCATCCCCTGGCGTCAGGGCGGCGGCAGCAGCGGCGGCGGCGGGCGAGGTAGTCCCTTGGAGGCTGGCATGCGTGGTGGCAGCGGAGGGAGAAGGAGCAGCAGCGGCGGCGGCGATTCAGGCGGCGGGAGCGCCGCCGTCGGCTGGAGCGTCGACCGGTAGTGCCGCTTGCGCCGCAGGTACGCAGCCCTTGCCCTCGAGTGCTGGCGCAATGGGGGCGAATTGTGCGGGGCTGGTGACCGGTGGCCTTGGTGTTCGCAACCCTGCCGGCAAGGCCGGCCGCGGCAAGGCCGGCGGCGGTGGCGACGAGGCGGGCGCAGATGCCGATGCGGGTGCGGGTGCGGATGCGCCCGCGGTGGAGAGGGCACCAGCACTGCCAGGAGAGGGCCGCTTGGAGGACGGCGCCATGGACCTGGACGAAGGGGACCTGTATGACATCCCGGTGGGGGACCTTGACGGTGGCCTTCACGGCTGCCCCCCCAGTCACCCCATGGACACAGCCGGAGGAGTGAACGGCCCGCATGGCGGCGGCGTTGCAGGAGGTGATGGTGGGGGTCATGGCCAGCGGGGTGCTGCTGCAGCTACCGCTATCGCCGGCTTCATGGCGCCTGTTGGGGCTTCGATCAGGGCTGCTGGTACTGGCGGCGGCGGCGGTGGTGGTGACGGCAGCCGGAGAGCATGGGAGCTAGCGGCGCGGCGGGCGCAGCCATCATGTGCTGCCGACTCTGCCGCCGCTGCCGCCGCCGCCGCTGCAGCGGCCGCAGGGTCTATGGTTGAGCAGGTCATGACTGGTCGTGCCCAGTCGGTTGAGGAAGCAGCAGGAGAGCTTGCGGACGCTATCGAAGTGGATGGGTCTCAACAGCAGCAGCAGCACGAGCAGCACGAGCAGCGAGAGGCGCGGCGGGGGCGGCGGGGCGGGAGGCGAGAGCAGTGGCGCCGGCGGCAGCGCCGGAGGCAGCAGCACCAAGAGCATCAAGTACAATTGCGACCACAACGGGGGCAGCAACGGGCGAAGCAGCAGCAATCTGAGAGGCACCAAGAGCAGCAGCAGCAGCAGCCGGCGCAGCAGCACCACGAGGAGCATCGGCTGCCGCAAGCACTGCCCCCGCAGCAGCAGCAGCACCCAGGCAGCATGCTGGAACAGCAAGAGCGACAACGACACACCGCAGCGCTTGCCAATGCAGCCGCTCCAGGGCAAGCAACCCAGCAAACAGGAGTTCTCTCTCTTCCGCAGCAGCAGCCGCAGCAACCCCTACAGCAGCAGAACCATCATCAGCAGCACCCGCAGCAGCAGCAGCATGCGCTAGCGCTAGCAGCGGCCCTTCCTCGGCGGCCGCTATCGCTGCTGATGCGTCTCATCGACGACTTCCTGTTCGTTACCACATCACGGTGAGGTGCTGATAGGCTGTTGTGTCGGTTGTGTCGGTAGGCAGTTATATCGGTTATGTACCGCACGGGCTCCGGTGTTGGGTGAGGTACGAGGAAGGGCATGCAATGGATGGGAAGTGAAGGCAAGCCGGAGGTACCCTACAGAGGGTACACTTCTCCGGGATCTGGTCTTACTGAACAATACCTCCTCTGGTGTTTCCGTACCTTGGGCTACCTCCATCTTCCCACCACCACCCCGTCCATCTCCTCCCCGCATGAACTCATGCACCCATGCACCCATGGACCCATGCGACCCCCCAACATACCCTCGTACAGCGCCGCTGCGGAGGCGCTGGTACGGCGACTGCACGAGGGCTTCCAGTCCGACTACGGGTGCCGTATCAACCCCGCCAAGACGCAGACCAACTTCACTCCGAAGCTCGAGAGCGCATCAACACCCCGGCAGCAGCACCAACATGCGGCCACAGGAACAGCGGCAGCTGCGGGAGCAGCAGCAGCAGGAGAAGAAGCGGCGGCGGCAGCAGCAGCGCTTGCGGACCCATGTAATGCGGGGGAGGAAGGGCGGTGTGAGGGCCACGAGGGCGGTGAGGGTGGTGGTGATGGCGCTGTGGTTCAGGTGCTGGGCGGCGGTGAGGAAGGTGACGGCGACGGCGACGGCGACGGCGGCGGCGACGGCGACGGTGACAGCGGGCGCAACATCTGGCGTTCGGCGGATGGTCGGCGATACATCAGGTGCGGTTCACTATCGTGCATCCTGTCTACTGCTTTGTCAGCACCGCTTCGCAGCCTCGATGGGATCTTGCAGCAAGCACCAGAGGCACGGCTTGCCTCCCATCCCGACAACCCGAATCCTTTCCTGTACGTGTTTGGTTTCTCAATCTCACAACCCGCCGCCCTGCGACCCCCACCGCCCCCCAGGTGGTGCGGCCTGCTGATCAACGCCGCTACGCTGGAGGTGCAAGCGGACTACAGCCGCTACTGCGGAGTGCACATCCGCACCACCATGAGCGTGCCGGCGGAGAGGAGGCCAGGTGGGCACCGGGTGGGGATGGTGGTGGTGGTTGTGATGTTTATGGGGCAGTGTAGGGATGGGAGGCGTCATGGGGCAGGTGACATGTGTTGGGTGCGTGGGGTTCCTGTGGTTTGTGGATTACTGCATGCAGTCTTAGAGGTACATGGGGCTATCCGGACGGGAATAGTGGCCCACGTGGCTTACTAGGACGGTTGCCAATGGTCCTCTTCTGATGCCTGCGCAACGAATCGTGCGTGCTTAACTCTCTGTTTCCCCACCGCCCCGCAGGCCGGCAGTTGTCCGTCAAGATGTGTCAGTACCTGCGCCCCAAGATGCATGCGCTGCTGCTGGACACCTCCGTCAACTCCCCCGCCACCGTACGACTCAACATCTACCAGGTGAGGTTTGCTTGCTGGCATTGGAACCGTGAATCAACCACTCATGTATGTGGCGCAGCATGTGTTGGCTCCAGCCCCATAATCCCTGTGTAGGATGTCATGGCCCATGAGCGGCCATGCGCCTCCTGGACATGCCCTTCCGGTGTGTTTTGTTATGGTGCACCCACGCCTGCTGCGTTCTCCACGTTTTTTCCTCATCTAACAGGCATACCTGCTGGCAGCAATTAAGATGCACTGGTACGTGCGCTGCCTGCCCGTAAGGCCGGGCGCTGACCCACGGGTCATCCTGGCCGCCATTCAGTCCTCAATCGCCTACATGACGACGCTGGTTCGTAGCCGCACTCGCATGGCGGCTCGGCGCTTCGGACCCGGCTGCCGCTGCGACGTATCCAGCTGCCACATCAGGTGCCGGCTGCGGGCTGTGGGTAGATGAGTGCAATGGGTCGGTCGCGGGGGCCCCTCGAGAGGGGGGTGAAGCGGCCTTCTGTTTCGCCGGAATACAGTGCTGCATCAGCTTGGTTTTAGACCTCGTGCCACTCGTAATCCTCTTCCTTGCCCCTCCTGCAACTTCACCATACATGACCCACCAAGGCTACCAAACCAACCATAGATACACATTTCTCGCTCTCTGCATGATTCCTCATGTCGCTCACACCGTACGGCAAAAACCCTTCCGGCCCTGCCTCAGGTGGCTCGGCCTGACCGCCTTCCACCAGGTCCTCTCCCGCAAGCAGTCCAGGTACGCCGTGGTGCTGCGGTGCCTGCGGGAGCAGCTGGCCGCGCCCACCTACCGGCACCTGGCGCGGCAGCTGGCGGGGGTGGTGGGTGGGGAGGCGAATGCCGTGTTCGGGGAGCTGAGGTACTGAGGGTGGGGTGGGGTTGGGTACTGAGGGTGGGGTGGGTTGGGGTGCTGAGGGAAGCTGATGGATGCTGCGGAGGGATGCTGCGGAGAGGTGCTGAGGAAGGGTGACGTGGGTTTTAGTGGTGGGTTCCAGGGGCTGGGTGTGTGTTAAAATAACTGGCCGCGGTCAGACGGCTGTGTGATTACGTAGGTGACAAACCGGTACCATGGGAACTGTGCACTTGTTTGGTGGAAAGCAGGAGAGGCATGCCAAACCTGGCTCAGCCAGCGCTATCCGATTGTGTATACGTATGCAGTTTTTACAATAGGATGCGACGCACAATTCTTTGGGCCTTATAGGCCATGCCACAAAACCTAACTCATTGGGAATTTGGGATGGATAGTCCCCCTCCTAAGCAAGTAAAAAGTAAAAGTTTCGATCACATCTCTCGCAAGTACCCACCCCAGACTGCTATGAGGACCAGTAGGCCGCATGAGTAGGCGGTTATTATAGAGTTGTCTCCAAGTGTACGGCTCCTACAGGCCGGGATGGAGGGCTAGTTGCGGATAGGCACAGTAGCTGAGGCGCAGCATGGTGCCTTGCTCATTGTGTTGCGGCGTGACAGCATGACCCATGGGTCGCTAAGGGAACTTAGTGATATGGACGATGTTCTTGCACGTTTGTAAGGGTCCCCTAGCAGGTGATGGACAATATTCGTGTGTTGTCGGTACGTATGGATTTTCGTTTGCGCGTGTACGCTTAGTTGGCTTCTCACTTGTCTCGCTACGTTCACCGTACGGCTACGAACAGTACGTCGCTATTGTTGGCTGGCTGGCAACGATGTGTGCCCTGCAGGAGAGTGTGAAAGTTGCGTAGTCGCTGCGTCAGATGCACCACATGCAAGCACAGCATATACGCGACCATTCTCCTTCTCGGCAGTAGCATGCGCACATGTTGGGGACATTGGTACAGCAATGGGCGTAGCATATAGCCGTTCACATACAATTGATACAAAGGCCCATACCGGTGCGTAATATACGGTATAAGCATGGCTTGACAGCGTCAAGCCCTAACGTGCGAGATGGGCAGATGACACGTGTGTGCCTCCCAACACATGCAGGCAAGACGTCAGGCTAGGCCACCGTGCAGCTGCTTGCTTGCAGCATTTGGCATCCCTCATGGGATGCATGCGTGCACTTCCACAATGCAATACGGTAGCTTGCGGCTTGAAAGCGTACCCCGGCGCTTGTGCCCAAGCCACCCTGAAGACCCCACTGCTAACGAAGTTCCTGTGAACCATGGGTCAAACACCACCGTCCAACCGAAGAGGGTAGCCCTAGAGCTAGCAATTTGACTTAATAGCCGTCCGTAAAGACGACTTGGCCAATGAGCTAATCCTTTAAAAGCGCCTATGGCGTCGATCTGCGATACGGCATGAATATTAGGCTTCCTCGGCCATAGAACTTCGCTCGAGGCCATTCTTATGCGGCAGTGGCAATCATACAAACCCTCTTCCACTGTCAGTTGCAAGCTTACAGACCCTTTTCGACTGTAGCCGAGCTTTTGGCCTCATTTGCCTGCAGCAGCCTAGCCGCCATGAGTAAGCGCAAGCGCGAGACCTCGTTCCTGCTGAGCGATGAAGATCCTGACCTTCAAATTAAGGTTACGGATAAGGAGGGCCATATCCGAGCACATAGCTCGATCCTCATCCTTGTCAGCAAGGTTGTTCGGGACCTGCCCAAAGCCTCGGGCGGTGCTCCGACGGTATGGGATCTGAGCGGTGTTGTTCTGGAGGGCGAAACGCAGCCGGTGAAGGGCGCCACGGTGCAGCTGTGGCTGGATTTCTTCTATTCACGGATCGACAGCTTGCGGCGCTTCAAGGCCCCGGACAAGCTAAACGAGGCCAAGCAACTGCTGCTGTTTGCTGACTACGCCGGCACCGCTGAGGTCCCGCTTCACGACATGGCCCAGGCCTTGACAGACAACCCGCGGCTCAGCCTCACGGTGCCTGTGGGAAACCTGGGCCGGACGCTGGACCTCATCCTGCGTAACACGGTGTACTATTTGAACGGAGATGAGCTGCGTCGAGTTGAAGTAACGGTACCAAAGAAGGATACCGCCCTGCTGTCGGCCTACGAGTTCCAGCGCAACCAGGTGCGGTTCTCATCGACCCTGTGCGGTCTGCTTGAGGAGTGGCTATACCTGGCCGGGCGGCTAGAGCTGGTGCCGCTGGTGCAGCTGCTGCTGGAGTTCATTCGGACGCAGCTGTTCCCCGGCAATGAACGCTCGTTACTCCTGCCAGCGATTGGAGGCGTCTTCAGCCCGCGCGTGCTGCAAGCCATGCCGCCGCAGCTGCTGTTCGAGAGCTTCCTGCAATACAACCTGTGCAGCCGACCCAACGATGCCACGATAACGGCTGAGAACGCAACAGTCCAGATGCAGTCACCGCTGTCAGCGTCATGGTTTGGTGCCACCGCCATGAAAAGCACGTTGGAGCCGCGTAGCCATGGGACGACGCTCGTGAAGAACGGCATTGGGGACCTGGCTACTGGCCACTTTTCGTTCGGCGGGCCATCATCGGACGTTGCGACCCGCATCGTGCAAGAGGCGGTATCCAAGGTGATGGAGCAGCAGTGATACGGCAGCATCCCCACCGCCTCGCTCAGCATGCAAGCGGGGCCATGACGTGCCGGCCATGCATGGGCGGCGTCCCGAGCCTCGGCAGTGTCTGCCTACTACTATTTTAGACGGCTATGCGTTTGGACTTTCAGATGAGCTGCGTACGGTAGTTGTGTTGCTGCTTGCTGGTGCAAGTGCGGGCAGCGTTGCGGCTCGGTTGCAGTAGAAGAAGATCGTTCTAGGCAACATGGTTTGCGGCATCGACAGGACTTACATACCCAGTGGCGTTGCATGTGCATGAGTTGAGGAAGGGATCTGTAGCAGGGCATTCTCGTCCCCAGCTGTACATTCAAGTATACCGGTAACTTTAGCAACGTACTGCTATGAGTACCGGTTTGGTCGAACGATACATTGGCCGTTATAGGATGCAACGCGCTCTGCTTAAGACTGTTGCCTGTCCCCTCTACTTGTACGGGTGATTAAGCTACCGGTACCGATTAAGCTACGGCTACCGGTATCTAAAAGGCATATGCGCATTTGGCGGGCACTGTTACAGACGTTAGTCGTTAGCTGCGTCGTAACGTGTGGGATGACAGCTGTAAGGAAGATCCCTTTGATCATCATTTACATGTGGATCCCGTCCACACGCCGCGCTTCCTTCTAGCCATCTGGGACAGGTCCACATTCCATCTGCAACCGCTAGGGCTTGCAATGCTCAAGCAGGTATGGGGCTAACAGCATGGTAGTAGTTTATACTCTGAATGCATGCAGAGACTGAGCTGCAAGATGACGACAAACCCATACGCTACAGCAGCGACCGCCTTTAGTCGTGCCACTTCCCAAACTGCACTCATGCAGCGCTCAATCCTTCCCCTTCCAACCAAGTCGAAAGCTGACAACGGAACAGTGCACAGCAACCGCAATTAAACGCCACCACGTTCCACACCCTTGTCGCACCAATGCCGCCGCCACAGCCCATGCCGAGGGCTCCGGGTCACCTGCGGGTCCGGGAGACGTTCATCGACCGCGCCGATCAGCTATCGGCTTAGCACTTAAAATGCGAGTTGTAGGGTTGTAGGAACTGAAACTCCACCGCTAGTTGCCGCCCCGCAAACCAGCGCCCATTCATTGCGTGCTGCGCCGCCGTCGCCGCCTCCACACTGCCGCACTTGAGGTACACGCAGCCCTGCGAGAGAGGGGAAGGGAGGATGCGAAAAGGGGCAGGGCAGCGACAACATCCAGCGGCAAGCCGCATGGGAAGCCACACGCCCGGGGAACGCAAGGTCAGTGCAAAGCGGAAGTGGTGATAACCTGAAAATCCGAGATTTGGGATGGACAGGTAAGGCTAGGGCAAGGGAGATCGGCCAAAAGCAAAACCAGCGTAAATGTTTGGGTGCGGTAACAGAGCAAGAGGCTTCTCTAGGTAAAACGCGGGCAGTGACGCGTCCTTGCCTACAACCAGATTGCTTGCTACGGATGCTCCTGATGCATATGGACTCGAGGGGTCGATTGGGAGTCTAAAACCTGCGCGATAAAAACAAAACGTTCCTCCCAGAATGCAGAGCGCTTGCTGAATTGCACCAGAAGACCTGCACATAACGAGGTTTCCTGAACGAAACGCGGTCGCCTTCTTTGCATGCATGGGACATGACCTGCGAGAAGAAAGACCTCAACACGCGCACGCACAAACGACACGCGCCCTGCTGCACCCCTGCTCTGGTTGCCCCTGAGTGCAGCAGGGAGGAGCACCTGCGAACAAGCGCCCGACCAGCGGGGGCCTTTAGCATGCATCAGGCCTTATAGGACTGGTCGAAAGTTAGCTAGCCACAAGCCTATGTTGTCCTAGATCAGGTTGCCATGGCCAGTGCAAAAGCGGTAGTCATAAAACGGTAAGAAGTTCTTGCTCCGCAAGCTGCCATGAGAAATCGTAATCTTCGAAGCGCGGCGGGCCCTGCTACTTACCTGACCCACCCACCCGCCACTTTGCATGAAAGCCGTGGGCGGATGGGCGGCATACCTGACCCTTAACCCACCACACGGGCACGGCGAGGCTGCCGACGTTCGATGTACGGCGGCAGCAGGCAGCATCCCGGCACAGCGGCAACGGCACTGCGTGTGATAGTGCGCATGACTCTTCAGATACCGCAATGATGGAGTGTTTGCGGAACGTGAGGGGGACATGCTGAGCTAGTAAAACCCACTTCCCATCGCCAACCCATACAGAACATGGAAACCACGCATGCATTATAGTCCTACCGAGCATCCGCAAGGACGCCTCCCAGGACGGAGGACATCCGCACCCACCCTCCTCCCCCATCCCTGTACCCGCCAACCATTGCAAACGGCCCCACCTTGCTGGCCGTGTCCACGTGCACGTGTACCACAGGTCCGTACTTGGAGCACTCGTCCCGTACATCCTGCGTAATCTCCTCCGCCCACTCGGGCCCCATCTCCGCCTCAGCATCCGCCGGGTCAAACATGTTCTTAATTAGCAGGCAGGGCGTGGGGATGGGCGACGCAGGGCCCAGCACGCTCTGAATCAGCCCTAGGCTGGGGTCCAGCTTGGGTCCCGCAGGCGCTGCTGCCACCGGTGCCGCGCCTGGCATGCCTGGTACGGACAGCGTCGGGGCCATGGGTGGTTGCAGCCCGGCGGAGGAGGCTAGTCGGGCCATGAGGGCCTGCCGCCGGTCCGAGGTGAGCTTCAGGCCGCCGCGTGACTCCTCCTCGTCAAGCTCACCTAACGGAGGAGGGGGGGAGTGGCAGGGATGGGGGGAACACCATGTCATATGAAGAGGTGGGTAGCCGTTACCATGGGACATCACAGCCCTTCTTCCACCCCAACGCGTTCCTCTCTTTCTCAGCCCACACTCACCGATGCCAGAGTTATCAACTGCGGGCGCCGCAGCCGCAGGCGCCCCCGGCACCGCCGCCACTCCCGGCACCGCCAGTCCAAAGCGACTCGCCACCTGCGGCGTCAACGTCAGCCCAGCCAACCCCGCTGCGCCCGGAGCCCCAGGCAACGCCAGTCCGGCGGCCCCCGGCAGCCCTGCCGCTCCTGGCAGCGCCAGCGCGGCTGCTGCCCCCGGCGCGGCAGCGGTGGCTGCCACGGAGGAGACGGACACCTTGAGTGCGGACCCCGCCACCATGCGGCCGTTCCAGTGCTCCAGGGCCTTGGTGGCGTCGAGCACGTTGGAGTAGGTGACATAGCCGTAGCCCTGGGGAGGAGTGAGAGGTCGGGGGAAGAGGACGGTGATGGATAACGCAGCCATGAGAGGGCCACGAAAACCAACCCGCCGAACCCACCCAGCCCGACCCAAATGACCTCCAACCCACCCTTTCCTGCACCCACCTGCGACTTCCCCGTGGTGTCCCGCACCAGCTGCACGCTGTCAATCTGCCCAAACGGCGCGAACAGCTGCTGCACGTCCGCCTCCGCAATGGCTGCGTTGAGGTTGGCCACGTACAGCTTGCAGGGGCCCACGGGCAGCGCATCGTTGGCGCCCGTCACGCCGGCGCCCGCCAGCAGAGAGGCGGCCTTGAGCTGGTTCTGCTTGGCCTGCTGCTGGGCTTCCTGTGGGTGGGTGCCGCAGAGTGATGAGTTGGGTTAAGAATCTGGAATCTTTTGCAAGTGGGTTTGGGGCCAGGTGAGGTGCACATGCCAGCGTGGCGGCGTGCGGGCTGGGAAGGAAAGGCTGGAGAACGGTCACGTGTATGGAGTGAGAGATGCCGGAGATCTACTAGAAACCCTGCCCTTAGCTGCTCACCCACGCCAGGTTCTTCTCGTGCTCTGAGCTCTTGACCATGATGGCCTGACCCATGAAGACGGTGCCGGTGAGTGCCACAGCGGCGATAACCTCCTCCACCTTGCTGAACTCAATGTAGGCGAAGCCCTTGCTGCGCTTCGTCGTTTTATCCGTGATGAGCTTGATGTCCACAACCTTGCCCACCTGGTGGGATCATGGAATGTATGACGGATTGAAAAGTGAGAAGATTAGCGGAACACGAGGGGGATGGGGTCTCGAGGTGATGCCAAGCAAGGACGGGCGGCACGGTGGCGCCCTTCAATGTGCATACGCGGCCACACGGTACCCCTCGAGGTATACTACACTCCTTCCCGACAGGTGAACAACACCCACCTTGGAAAACAGCTGGTAAATGTCACGCTCATCCGCCCGGAGGTTCAGGTTGTATGCAAAAGCAGTGCGCGTTGACCGCTCCATCTCACGAAGCTCCTACAAGGAAAGAGAGAAAGCTGTCAGGAAAAGACGCCTCTCGTTATCACAGTTGGCCCATGCACAATTTGCTGGGCGCACCTTCTCAGCCTCCCGCGCAGCCCGCACCTCCGGGGGTGTCCGCTCACGCTCCCGCCTACATAAAAGCAGAAAAGGGAAGTCATATATAGACTTTTACAGGAAACCGTCCAAGCTTTCAGTTAACAGCCACAAGTGCCTTGTTCACAGACCATATACTGAAGCCCCAACTCTTACCGCCGATCATATGCTGGATCGCTACGCCTGCCACGGGATTCATGCTCTCGCCGTGGCTCCCGGTCGTAATCTCGACGGTCCCGACGGTCCCTGTCGCGACTGCGGCCACGATCCCTGCGGTCCCGGTCATCTCTTCGATCCCGGTCATCCTTATCGCGTCGCCGGTCGCGGTCACGGCTGCGGCTCCTGCTGCGCCGCCTCTCCTTATCTTTCTCGCGATCCCTATCACGGTCTTTGCCGCCCCGGTCACGGCTGTCACGCCTTTCTTTAGGACGTTCCTCTACACCATTTGATTCCTTTGCAGCTGGGCTTGCGTCAGCAGCTGGGCCTTCCAGCTGGCGTTCCAAGTACTCCCAATCTGCGTCTCCCATTTCTCTTATGATACAGTATAACAGAAAGCTTATGTGAATGGGCCAACGTGTTAGTTTATACACTGTTTAGTAAGTGGAGTTTGATTTGTATTGAACTAGAAACGCTGGTGTACAGCCATTCAGCGTTTCAGCCCATTGAAGGCGACAACTGCACGCTTGTAATAGTGGCATCCACGTTTTCCCCGGTATTATAGACAGGAAGAGGTAAAAGCCAACGGCGCATGTAACCGTCGAAACCCTAACCTCGCGCATTTGGCATAACCAGTAGACATCCCGCCCGCGCGCGTTTCCCCCTACGTCAACAGCCACCCTATGCTGCTCCCGCGCCCAAACTCAGCCAGCACATTTGATTTTCGAGTTGCTGAGCTTCAAAGAGCATTCCGGCTGCTGCGCCACGCTTACCGTACATGTAAGTGCTCACACGGCAACAAGGCCCCCGGCACTTCACCCCGACATGACAAGCCGCGGACAGCTTACCCAGCTCAACCCCAGGTCCCGGCGTACCGGACATCTCGGAATACCCTTGCAACAAACCCGCTCCCAAACCTCATCCATCCTATCCCACTTTACACCTCCGCTCCGACCCTTCACCGAAACCCAGGCACGTTTTCCATCCTTCGGCGCTTGCCCTGCGGCCCCTGCTGCGCCGCCAGCATCGCCGCCGCATGCGATGACGACCCACGGGTCATCCCACCGCCTCCCGGCCCCCCGCCTGGCCCTCCCCTGCCTCCCGGCGGCCCTGGGGGCCCGGGCAGCCCTCCCCCGCCCTCCCCATGATGGTACGGCTGAGCCGCCCCTCCCTGCGCCCCCCCTGGAGCCCCTCCGCCTGCTGCCGCCGCGGCAACCGCGGGTATGCGGTCCAGTGTCATGGGTCGGCGCGGGTAGCGTACCAGCGGTACGGAGGAGCCCTGGGAAGTGGCAGAGGAGAAAAGATACAAAAGACACGTTGTTAGCGATAGAGACCGATAGTGGCAGCCCGTGGTGAAAGCCCCTGACGAATGCATGCAAGTGGGAAGCGGACAAGGTACCATGGGATTAACCGCAACGGGATGGAAGGAGGAAGGACGGGAAGTGGGAGGAACGAGTGCGGCAGGAAGAAGGGCGGGGTCACAGGCCTACTCTCGCCCTCACCACCCACCGTCCACACATGCACCCCACGCCCCCTCGCCCTCACCGGCCGGCGGAACACGTTGGGTCCCGGCTTGGGGTCCATCCTGAACCACTCGTGCCGCAGCGCCTCCTCCGCCGTGGCCCGGGTGGTGGGGTTGTAGTCCAGCATGCGCGACATCAGGTCGATGGCCTCGCGGGGCGGCACACACTCCTGAGCACGGGCGAAAAGGGGGGGGGGGTAACGGCAGCATACGGGTAGCGTACATTCCACAGCTTCAGCACCAATGGATTAGGGGACGGTAGTATATTTGGTAGTTGCCCCCAGGGCAAGTCGTTAAGGACGGTAACGGTTGTTTGTCTGCCTGCCTCTCTCTGGCCGCCACCTGCTTCCCGGTTCCCGGACCCCACCTGCGGTACGTGTCCCTGCGCCCAGCCCGGCGCCGCCGCCCGCATGGCCTCCAGCACCGCCGCATGCAGCCCCGCGCCGCCCCACTCGGGTCGCCGCACGCGCACGTTGTCGGTGTTGTCCAGCCAGTGCGGCAGCACCTCCAGCTCCGGCCAGGTCTTGAGGCTGGGGTGGCCCAACACGCGGAAGATCCTGCGGGAGAGGGGGGAGAGGGAGGAGGAGGAGGAGAGGGAGGTGGAGCAGGAGCAGGAGCAACAGGAGGAGAGGGAAAAGAAGGAAACAAACATGTATTTAATGGTAGTGGCGACAGCAGGTGAGGGAGGAAGGGAGGGTGTGGGGTGGGGTAGTGCACCGAAGGGGAGGCGGCGGTGAGGGAAAAGGACAGGGAGGTCATGCGTGAGGGAGGGGAAGTTGTGCAAGAAGGGCAGGGGCAGGGGCCTACCTCCCTCTTCCCCTCGCCCCTCCCGAACTCCACTTCCAACCCCCCCCTCCGCCCTCCGCCCCCCGCTCACTTGTCTAGCTGGTCTGCCTGCAGCACATTGCCCGGGTTCTTGCGCTCCTGGCCCTGTATGTGGAGGGGAAAGGGAGGGCAGTACAGAGGTACTAAGAGACAAGGTTGTGGAGGGGACGGAAACATGGAAGCAAAACCAGGTTGGACTCAGGTGGACCGGGACAGATCGAGTTTCACAACAGCAACCCTAGGGCCCCACCCCACGGCAGCGGCGATTCATGCTCACACCCCTACCCAGCAGCTGTGAAACCCCCCGCTGATCCGCTTCCCTCCCCATTCACCAGGAGCTCGTCGGCTTGCTTGCCAGCCTCATTCAACACATTGGGTATTCTACTGTCCCCCCTACCTGGAACAGCGGCTTGAGTGTGAGCAGCTCTGCGAATATGCATCCCGCCGCCCACACGTCCACTGCGCGGGTGTAGTGCCGCGCACCCAGCAGCAGCTCGGGGGCGCTGGAGAGGGGGGGGTAGGGGGGTGGGGTGGGGTAAAAGAACGAGTAGTAGGGGGAGGTAGGGGCAGTTAAGGCGGAACGGAAGCAGGGTGAAGGGGGTAGAAGGGAGGCGTGGGCGGGAGGAAGGAAGGGAAGGGGGGCGGGTGCAGGGCCAGGGGCAGCCAGGAGGAGGGAAAGCAAACACCATGGAAGTAAGTGAGAGGGGGAAGTGGGGACGAGAGGGAGCGCCGCCGTCGGGCAGGGCCCCCGCACGGCTCGCCTACACCATCCCACCCCCAAGCTCGTCTTTACCCATCCCAGAACTCCCTCCTCCCCCCCGACCAGCCGCACTTGTGGTTTCTACTAATACGGGTTGGTTCCTCTTTGACCCCCCCCCCCAAACCCGCCTCACCGGTACCAGATGGTGACGACCACCCCATTGTCAGACAGCGGTCGGGCGGGGGACTGAGGGGGGGGCAGGGGGAAACCAAACATAAGGAAACCACAAGTTCAGGGCAAAGGAACTGGGATAGGCGGCGGCAGCAGGGGGCCACACAACATGTGAGCGGGGGCCGGTAATGTGTATGGGGGGTAGAATAAACCAAACCACAAAGTTAGGGCAAAACAATGGGTATTGTTGGCAGGGAGCCACAAAACATGGGAGGGTTAGCAGTCATGTGTATGGGGCGAAAGAGGTGTGGAATGCGGTAGAGGACGGCCAGGAAGCGCCCTGCGAGGAGGGGAAGCACGGAGCATGCGAATCCTCCTCCTCCTTCCCCTCACTTCCTCTCCCTCCCTACCTGGAATATGCGTGCCAGCCCAAAGTCCGCTATCTTGACGCAGCCGTGTTGTGCCGGCGACACCGCGGGGTCCTCGCCCATCACCAACACATTGGAGGGCTGCACGGGAGGGGGCGAGCAGCGACGAACGTGCGCAGCAGAGGGCAGCAGAGGGCAGGAGTTCCACCATCACATCAGTTGGTTTCTTCCCTTCTTCCTGCACCCGGCACCTTTAAGTCCCCTTCCCTTCCCCCCTCCCCTCTGCCTCCCATGGTGAAGCCTCGACATACAGCTCGTCAGTTTCCATTTTTCCCTCCCTGCCTCACTTGCCCTCACTCCCTGCCTCCCACCCCGACAGATCGGGACTCGTTGCTCACTTTTCTTTTGTTTTCCCACCCCCACCATCCAGTCCTGTTCCGATTATACCCCCCCCCTCCCCCCCTCCCCCACAGGGATTGTCAGCAACTTGTACCATTATCACAACCCACTTTGGAATTTATTTTTTTTCCCCCACCTTAAGGTCCCGGTGCACCACCCAGTGCTGGTGCAGGTAGCTCAGCCCGTTCAGCAGGTGCCACATCACCGTCTTCACGATGTACTGAGGCATCAGACCTGGGGGCGGAAGGGGGGAGAAACGGGAAACCTTAACAACTGCATCACACATCACGCAAGAACAGGCACAGCCCCGCACTCCGCACCCACCCACCCACCCACCATGCGGGTGGGGTGGGATGGGCTGGGTTCAATTGGCAACCCATGGTGAAGCCTCGTCATCCAGTTCGTCAGTTTTCCTTTAATCCCTCCCACCCACCATGCGGGTTGTCCCGCCGGTTCTCCTTGTTGTCCCGGTGGAACTTGATCATCTCGTACAGGTCGTACTCGGCATACTCGAACGCCAGCCACAGGGAAGGCTCGGAGCGGTTGATGTGCGCACTCTCAAGCTGGCGTGGAGGGGGGAGGAGGGAGGGAAAAAATACCGCTACATGAAAAGGGAAGCAACGGAGTCCCAATCCCATGTCCCGAGGGAGGGAGGAGGGAGCCACAGACGAGAGGTAAGGAGGAGGAACGAGCTAGCCGTGTGGCTCAAGGCTCAACCATGGGTAGAGGCGGAGGCTGTCGTACGGTCACTGCTAGCCAGCTCTTCCTCTTTTTACCCAGCCGACCACCAGCACCACTGCCATCCCCACCAAAGCACCCCCCGCTACCCTCTTTATCCCCACACACGGTCAGCTGGTTGTTTCCTCTTTACCCCCGCTACCCTCTTCAACCCCCCCTACCTTGACAATGTTGGGGTGGCTCATCTCGCGCAGTAACATGATCTCCCGGATGGCAGTGGGCGACACGCCGTCACCCTCCTGCGGGTCAGAGAGAAACCAGGCCGCACACAGGGGATTGCATTTGTTGGGTGGAGGTGCGGGTGTTGGGGGCAGCAGGGTTGGGGCGGACGGAGGGAAGGATGGCATGTGCCCAACAAGCATGTGCCCTACACTTCATCTGCCCGAAATAGTTTACCGCGACAGCACTGAACAGCACAGTACCCAGTACCCGGTACGGCCCTGCCCCGGTAACCACCCCGGCATGCATGACTGCAAATCCACAAGCGCTGCTGCTTGGTCCCAGCCCTAGCACGCACCCTGCCCCCTTTGAACTGCTTGATGGCGTAGCGTCCGCCCGTCTCCTTGCTGCGAGCATGGTACACCAGCCCGTAGGTGCCCTCGCCTGGCGGGAATGGCGTTGGGGGAAGGGGAAAGTGGAGCAGAGGTGGAAAACGCAATCAGGGATGCCGAAGTCGGGGCATACAGGTGGAGATGGTTGGACATGGACGGGGTTTCCCGGGGCAACGGTTGATGGTTGTTTGACGATCCTTACCGATCTTGTCACCCTTCTCAAACTTGTCCCACACAGAAGAGCTAGTAGAGGTGTTGCTGGAAGGAGCCCCGGAACCGTTGGCAGCGCCATGTTGCTGACTTTGCTGGGCCTGCTGCTGCTGTTGTTGTTGTTGCTGCTGCTGGTTACGGCCGCTGTCGTAGCTACCAAACCGCTGTTGCTGCTGCTGTTGGTGGGCAAACGTGTTCATAGACTCGCGGATAGGAAAGCTAACCCGTGCAATGGAGCGAGCAATTGCTCAGGACAACCCAGTCGACAATACAACCGCAAGCAGCTTTACATAACGGTTAGCTGAGACTTCACACTCCCAGCATCAACTGGGAAACGCTTGCACAAGGAGGTTAAGAAGCAACTACCGCTTGAAGGAAGCAGTTTGTAAATTCAGAAATCCAGTCCAAGTTACAGTAAATTAACCCTAGCCTACAAGTAGTTAATAGATTAGTAAAAAATAGAGGATTGAGACTACTTGCGGGTCGTTGTATGAAACGGTAGATGGACTGCGCGCGTGGTAGTCCCAAGTAACTCCAGTTCTGTGTAGCCTAGCCACAACCTAAGATGCCACCGCGCACATCGGTTACAGCGCCGTTGCCGATATCAGTCCCGCACGTGACATGCTGCGCCATCGACAGCGCCGACAGAGGCTCCTGCCGCATACGCCTTCCTGCAAGCGTTTGGGCTGCGGCAGGTGTTCCCTATCACAAACCTGTGGTCGTCACCATACCCTGCGGTGAGTCCATGTCGGCGTAGTTTGAGCCCATCCACACTAGAAAGCCACCTCCACAGCCATTTCACCAGCCCACTTTCCTGCATCGCCTCTTCCCGAACCCGTTCTTTCAGTCATACTGCTGGCACTCCCTCAATGTACCCCTGCTGCCATCCCTGAGACCCCCGACTTAACACATTTCCTCTCCTCTGTCACCCAACCCAGATGGCTCTCCAGCTCAGCCCTGGCGGCTGCTTTGTACCTCAGCCCTGGCCCCGGATCCCGATCTGGAAGATCCAACTGCCGTACCAGCACACTCCTCATCACGACAAAAACTCCAACAGCAATCCCAACAACAGTGTACGGCAGCTGCCCAAGCAGCCGCTGTGCTGGACCCCTCCATCATCCTCAGCGTGCCTCCGGGCAGAGACTGGCGGCAGCTCAGGCCATTGCTGGAGACGGGCTGGCGGTCTGAACCCCCTGCTGTTGCTGCTGCCGCTGCTGTTGCTGCTGCTGCTGGTGATGAGGTTAGGGCTCAACTGCCGGGTTTGGTGCGACGGGGGACGTCTGACGGAGCAGCTGCCGGGGGCTCGGAGACGGCGACGGTGACGGCATGCCGAGGGGGAGTCAACGTGGCTGCGGCGAGTGAGGTGCAGGTTCAGGTGAGCACGTGCGGATTTGTGGGATGTCTCCAGCTCCTCGATACGTGACCAACATGACGTCCAACACGCGCCTTAGGCCCACACTGCTCCCGTTCCCGTCCCATACACACACCCACACACGCACCGTACGTTTCTGCTCGCGCAAACTCGCGGCCAGCCTCCCACCCCCCCCCCACGCAATCCCGAACACACTCGCCCGCCCGCCCTCAGGTGCTGCCGCCTGCCGCCCGCAACCAGGCCGAGGGCAACCGCTCCTCCTCGGCCCCCGCCTGCGCCCCCCTGCTGCCGCTCAAGCTGAGGCAGTCGCTGGTGCTTCCGGGCTGCATGCTGCTGCTGTCGGTGAGACGTGCTGCTTGCTTGTTGAATTCCTATGTTTACCAGCTCCACCTAAGTTTGGTACATCGTCCTCCGTGCTGCTCCTTCTCCTCACCTTGCTGCCTTTGCGCAGGATTCAATTGCCGTACAAGTCACGTCCGTGCAGCCCCCGCCAGTCGCCCCCGACACGCCGTTGCGGATCATACCGTCCACTCGCATTGTCATCTTGCCGTACGACGTACGTCAGCAACCAGACCGGCAAGATGAACGGCAACAGCCGCAACAACAGCTGCAAGCGCAACAGGGGTTAGGGGGGCAGCAGGAAGAGCAGCAGGAGCGGCACACAGAACTGGAGGCGCAAGGAGTGTGCGCCGCGGAGGCGGAGGCTGCCTCACGTGGTGGAAGCGGGAAAGCGGGCGGCGGTTCCAAGGGCACGTTGAAGAGCAGAAGCAAGGTCAAGGATAAGGACAAGGACAGTAGCGGCCGGTTAGAGAAAGAGGGTAAAGACAGCAGTGTCAGTAAGAGCAAGAAAGGCAGCGGCAGCAAGGCCGGCAGTAAAACCTGCACTGCAACGCCCGCCGCCGCTGGCAGTGAAGAATCCGCGGCGGCGAGTTGCAGCAGCGAACGCACCAACGACCCACGGGTCACTGCAGCCGTCCGAAAAGGCGACGGCAGTAGCGGCACAACGGAGGATCATGGGCCAGTAATTGCAACCGAGGAAGACGCCGAGGTATCAGGGGCCGCGTCTGCGAAGACAAGCAAGACGGGCAAGGTCAAGGAGGGAAGCAACGAGAGCAGGGCCAAGGAGGGGTCTTTGAAGAAAGCCAAGGGCGCCAGCAGTACCAGCGGCAGCACCGGTGGCGGCAGTAGTAAGGGCAACAGTACGGCAACGGGCCCTGCTGGCCACAAGGCCTCATCCTCTTCTTCTCGCGCCTCCAAGAAAGCGGCGGGAGCGTCGTTGTTTGCGGCACTTAGAGAACTAGGGCTGGATGACGATTGATGGAGGTACCCTGGCGGCGCTGCATACCCAACTGGCATGAATGCGTGACAGAGCTTTCACTGACGGGCAAGGTGATGTAGGTCCGGCTGTAGGTTACCTAGGTGTAGCTGTGGCTTATCACGGTGCATACCAGGAAAGCCGTGCAAGGATGTGACCCTTTTGCGGGACTTATGTTGTGCCAGCGCAGCTGGAGCAGCGGGCAGAAACCAGACACTCAAGACCCACGCATGACTCTTCTTGATGGCCAACAGGATGGGCGGGGGAACGCGGCGGTTTGCTGCCGTTAAGGGAAGCTATGTTGGTGCAGGTTGTTAGTGGGTTGAAATACTAAAACGCGGCCGGGCCAGGTGCTGTGGCCGTGACACAGTGCAACCAATCCATCCTGATAGCCTGTTGCTGCCGAGTGACAACCGGCTGGTGACTTGACTGCGACTGGACGTGCGTGTAGGACGTGCATGTAGGATGCCGTCAGCGCGTCACGCTGTTTGTGGATGGCCCTCAGCTCGCTTTGGGTCGTGTCCCTATCGTTTGCGTCTGCTAACGGAAGCTCTGTAGTGTAGTGGCGACCCGTGGGTCTTTTGACCAACCTCCCAAGACCACGGCAGATGTCATTCCTTATGCATGCAATAAGTACCGGTAATACACATGAGGATGAAGAACCTTGCGATTGCTCGCCGCATACGGTATGTACGGTAAATGACCTCCACTGTAGCCAAGTGCAGTGTACGACTGTTATGGAAGACACATGCCCTCAATGTGCCCTCAATGTGTGATGGATGCCACAAAGCCCCTGTACAGCACATGAAACACGAATGTTGCACCCAAGCTCATCTCGGTTGATGTATGTGCACATGCCGAGCATCCAAAAGCCTCCCTCCTGAAGGCCCTCGCCCTTATTCCTTTTCCGTATACCAATGCACATGGCGCATGTACCGACGCGTGTATATGCATGCAGGCTCCGCGGCGACCCACGGGTCTCATAACTTCGCCAGCAGGCTCTTGATCTGGGGCACCACCTGGGCCGTGTAGGTCACCAGCTGCTGCGGGGCGGAAGGGGGGGAATGGGATGGGGAGGAGGGACTAGAAATTGCCATCAGTTAGTTGAGAGGGATAAAAGAGAGGAATGAGGGCAGGGGCGCTGTGATGAAAGAGGACACCGGTAGAGGATAGAGGATAGGCATAACGGCCACTGCGGTCATGCCTCAGTGCAGCCATGCCCGCCCCTGTAGCTTTAATTACCCTTCACCACTCGTATCTGCAACCCTTTTCGCTTGCGCCTCCCGCCGTTCCACGAACTCCCCAACGGCCTCGCGCCCAAGGCTGCTCTTGACTCCCCCACACAACCCACCTCCGCAGACTGCTGTCCGGGCACGTACGCCGCATGGCCCTTGGACTTCCCTCCGCCGCCTGCCGCGCTGGCTCGCTCCGCCGCAGCCGCCGTGATCTCCGCCTGCCACTCGTCGCACTGTCGCAGCAGCTCGGGTCGCTTCAGCGTGAAGTGGCGGCGCAGGACGTCAATGAAGGTGGAGCCGCCTGAGGCAGGGGAGGGAGGTGAAGTTGGGAGGGAGGGATTGACGGGGGAATTGATTGAAAGGGAGGAAGGAGGAGGGAGTTGCAGAAGAGGGTGGGAAGTGATGAGACCTGAAGACTTGAAACGAGGGTAGCAGGTAGTGGCCTTGGAGAGTACCGGTACTAACTCCTGTATGCATGATGCATGCTGCGAATCCTGCATGCACGCACACATGCATGCTAATTGGTGCTCAGTTGGTGCCTACCTGCCAGCGCATTCGCCTTGGCGCTGCTGCTGCCACCTGCCGCGCCTGTTGCCGCAGTCGCCGCCGCCTCCAGGGCTCGCAGCGCTGGCAGGATGGAGAAGGCGAGGGTGTTGTAGCGCTGCGAGTTGGAGTAGTCGCGAGCGGCGCGGCGGCCCTCCTGGGTGGCGGCCTGCCTCTGTGCGGGTGCGGAGCGTCGGTGGGGGGAGAGGAGAGGAGGGAGAGGGGGTGGGGCATGGGAGGAAGAGCGTGGGGACATGCAAGGGAAGGAAGCCGGAGGAGCCGGAGGAGCAAGAAAAAGCAGTGTGCCGCCCTGTGCGCCCGCAGCGGCAAAAGCGCTGGAACGTCTCCGTCCCGCCTCCCAACTTGGCCTGGATAGCGCGGGTGGTACCCCGCCCTGTGCCCTCACATCCCCCCACCTCGCTTCGGTAAGTAATTTGAGATGCGTGTCTTTAGAATAGTGTCTCCGAATGCACTCACTGCATGAGTCGGGATATGGGATTGGGACTTTAGTTGTTTGCATTTCTTATATAATTTTCAACCCTCGCACCTCCCAGCCCGGTTCGTTGTAGTAGGGGTCGGCCACCAGGATCATGCTGTGTATGCTGACCAGCACCTGGGGGGGGCGGGAGTGCGTGCAGGGTTAGCCACAGCGAACTGGGTTAGCAGGACGTGGCGGGAGACTGAGTGGGGAGGGGCGGAGGGAAAGCGGAAGGGGCGAACAGGGGAAAGGGTTAATCACAATGGACTGGCTTGGCAGCAGTGCATGTTGGAAGGGGGCGAAGGGGGGCAGAGCGGAGGAGTATCAGGAGGGAAATAAGACCATGGGCAAGCACTAGGCCCCTACCCCTCCCGCTCCCCGGCATGATATCTCCTTCCTCCTTTCTCACACCGCGCCCGCCCCCTCCCCTGCCTCCAGTTGCCGTCTCCTTCAGATAGGACGGTTAGGCTCCCCCCTTCCAAACCGCACTTGACGGTTAAGTTTCCCCCCCACCCCCCACCCGCACCTGCAGCACGGTGGACATGGCTGGGTCCCAGGAGGGCCCCGCCCAGGTACCCAGCAGCGACAGGCACACCTTGCCCTCGGCGTAGAGGTTGGGGTTGAAGCGCACCCGCCCGCCGCCGGTGGTCAGGAACTGGACCTGGGAGGGGAGGGGGGGAGGGGGGGGGACATGCATGGGACATGGGAGGCATGGAGGCGGGGAGGAGGGCGCATGGAGGTACCGGTACATGGCATGCATGTGACGGAGGAGCTATGTGCCCTGCACACCTTAAACCACCGAAGTCCCAAGACCCCTAATACAAGTTGGGAGTCCCAACTCCTCCGCTCACCTTTGGTGGCACGTTGGGATAGGCGGGCGGCAGGAAAATGTCGAACAGGAAAGCGCCGTTGGCGTAGGGCGTGTCAGAGGAGGGGATCAGCAGCGCCCTGGAGGAGGAGGTCAAAGACATACCAGAACCACAGGTTAGGGCAAAGGAGGGCCAAGGGAGCGGAGGGGTAGCAGCGCCCTGGGAGGGCGAGCGGTTCGGATACAACCCTGCATTCCTCCCTTCCCCTTATATACCCACTCACTCCTTCCTCACTCTCTCCCCTCGCCCCCTCTGTCTCCCCCTAACCCACGACCCACCTCAGCACGTCCACTCGGCTCTCGTCCACCGCCACGAACGCCGCCGCGTCCCACTCCAGCGGCAGGCCCGACGCCAGCCCCGAGATCTCGCCCGTCACGCGCTTCAGCCGCTGCCGCATCACCTCGCCGCCCGCACCCGCACCCGCCTTGTCAACCTCGGACCTGTACGGGGGGGAGGTTAAGGAAGGGAACGGAGGCTGCTGAGCGGGGTGCGTGTAGTCAGTAGGTGGGTGAGTAGGTGAATGGGTGGGTGGATGGGTTAGTTGTTAGCGGTTGCAGGTGGTTGGCATGTCCGCATGTGCATGCGGGGGAGACAAGTAAGGGCGTGGTGTAAGCAACAGCAGTCGCAGCAACAGGGCGCAACCGCATGGACGTTGCCCCGTGGCCTGCATTCACGCGGAATCCCCCTTGGTGCACCGGGCTACAATACCCCACCAGCCAGCCCTCCTCCGCATCTCCTCCCCCCCCACCTGAAGTAGTGCTCCCCCATGAGCTCCACCTCTCGGAACTGCAGCCCGCGCATGCTGGCCACGTACTCGGAGCGCCGAGCAGCGAGGGAGGGGTCACCAGCACCGGGCGCAGCAGCAGCAGCCGTGCCCCCATCACCGCCGCCTGGTGGCCCACCACCCGCCGTCTTCACCGTGGCTTGCTCGCCGCGGCGGGGCCGCTTGCTGGGCCGCCCGTCCTCCTCCTCAGCGCCCTGACCGTCAGCACCGACGGATGCGGCGGCGAGAGCTGGGTTGCCGTTATTACGGGGTCCAGGCAACGCCAGCAGCGCATGAAGTATACCTGTGTAAAACGTGGAAGAGCAGGGAAAACAGGTCCTTGACTCCTTGCCCTTGTTTTGTGTCCAATGTGGAATGTTACAGAGATAGGACTGGAAGACGAAGAAAGCAAGCCAGGCCAGCGGGACGAGAAACCCCTGTTAGCGGAGTGTCGGCCCTGCCGACATAACGCAAAGCATCCAGTCCTAGCTGTCGCTTCCTGCTACCAGTCCCGCTATAAACTGCTGCTGATGCTTGTGGCATGACAGCAAATCTCTGCATACATATGAAACAAACTAAAGTCAAGCCCCTGTCCCCCCCTCTCCTTACCCTGTTCCCCGCCCATGCTGCCCCGCCAAAGCGCCACCCCCGCCGCCACCTCCTCCGCCACCGACCCCAGCTCCAACGCTAGACCCAACGCCGCGATGTCCTCCTCCGCGCCGTCAGCCAGGTCCTAATCAGGCAAGATAGATGGAAAAGCGCACACGGCAACAGTGCTAATCAGGCAACAGTTGCGTCGGGCGTGTCTTCCTTGCAGCTCATATCCAGGCAGCTCATATCCAGGACATGGGAACGGATGCGCATCCACTCATGGAGAGCGTACATGCGAGGTTAACAAGGAGGACAAGGATACTGAAGCATGCGTGTGTGCCGGGGCGTAACGCATGCGGTCCCTTGTCGCCTTTGTGCTTAGGACTGACAAGGAGGAGCTTAGGACTGACAAGGAGGTGCATTGAGAAGGGTAGCTGCCTTGAGAAGCGCGCCCCACCTGCGCTGCTCGCTTGAACACGGCACACTGTCGCCCTAGTGACTCGAAGACAGCTCCCAGGGGCGGATCCGAGGAGCCCTCCCCGGCTCCACCTCCGCCTCCTCCGCCTGCAAGCCCTCCGCCACCGCCTGCTGCTGCAGCAGCGGCACCAGCACCAGCAGCAGCAGCGGAGGCGCTGGGAGCGGGCGCCGAGGTGTCCAGCGGGTCGGATGCGGGCAGCACCAGCAACTCCAGAAGCGACATGTTGCTGACGATGCGCCTGGGTGGTCGTGGTGGTGGTGGTGGTGGTGGTGGTGTGCATGGAGGCGGAGGCGGAGGGAAAGGAGAGGGCTGAGGAATTGGGTGCGCGGGGTGAGTTGAAGGGGACAGCGCTGGAGCCAGGACCCTGCGGCAGCAAGGGCTGCTACGACGGTGCCTAAAGAGGTGCCTAAACACGGCAGACAATTACCGTACCTTACTACCGAGAGTACGACATTGTACAGTCCCTGCCGTTGACCCATATCCAGCAGCGACTCGTTCTGAAGCAGCAGCCGCAGAATGTACGGCAGTCCTCCGCACTGCAACGCCGCCAGGAGAACCGGCGGCGGGCTGGCCAGGGCGCCGCCACTGCTGCTGCAGCTTCCGCCGCCACCTCCTGTAGCCCTGCCCGCGCCCGAGGAGGCACCAGCGCTGAGGGCCACCAGCAGCTCTGAAAGGCAGGACTTGACCTGCATGGCGCATATGGGTCGCGACCCACGGGTCGGTAGCCTCAGTACACGTTATATGGCAAGTGTGACGTCACACCTGGACCGTATCCAACAGAGCATAGAAGCCCCGTCCCGTATGGTATCGTTTGGTTCGGCATAAGAACCAGACACCAGCACTATGCCTTCCCAAGCCGCCCCCAGCCGTTGTTACCTCCTCATCCGCCTGCCGTTGCCGCTCCTGTGCCGCCTTCACAGCCGCCGCAGCAGCCGCTGCCTCGTTATGCCCGCCCTGACCTCCGCCGTACCCCACCCCCTTTGCCCATGCCTTGCCGCCGTCGCCGTACCTCCCACCGCCGTCGCCGTACCTCCCGCCGCCGCCGCCTCGTCTGCCGCCGCTCCTGCGCCGTCTACTGCCTCGACCACCGCGGCCATTCCATCCTGCTGCTGCCCAATCCTTGGCCCCGTGTGCCTTGTCCTCTGCTCCCTTCGCTGCGGCGTCGCCCCCATCACCGTCCTCCTCGTCTTCTTCCTCTTCTTCCTCCTGCGCACTGAGGAGGACGGCCCGCACGCGCCGCAGCAGCCGCAGCACGCGAGCCGCCAGATCAGCCTCGGCTTGAAGGGCCTTTACAGGGAATGGAAGGGAAGGGAAAGGGGGATGACGAGATGTGAACCTGGGTTAGGATTGAAGCGGGCTAGAGAAATCCAACTGTCGTAATGCATGACCAGGATTTCACCTGGGTCAACGGAAGGCCAGGATGTGATCTGGGTCAACTTGTATGGCGGGAGAGGAAGTATAAAAGCACAAATTCCCAGTAGACCCAGATCAAATCCTGGCCCTCCCAACCCCGACCCAGATCCCCACCCACCTGCAGCCGCCCCGGCGACGCCACCGCGCCCTCCTCACAACTTTCAGGGCAGCTTAGACACACGAAGGCGCACCGAGGCCCCACCGCATCCAACAACCTAGATGCAAGCGACGTCAGGCCACCACCGGCGCCGCCGGCAGCAGCAGCCGTATCCGTTGCCGTACTTGCAAGGCTTGCGGTTCTGGTGCTGCGCGTTGCTGGCTTAGATCCAGCGGCGGTAGCAGCAGCAGCAGCAGCAGCAGGGGGAGGCGGTGGCGGCAGGCCGCCGCGGGCCGCCAGAGCTGCACAGAGCTGATCTGGCTGTAGCATGGAAGCAGCGGCAGAGGTCTGCTGCTGCTGCGCCTGTTGCAGGTCTCTGAGAACGCTGGTGGCCAGTGTTCTGGAGTGGCAGGCAGGGCAGGATGGAGCCAGCGGCAGCAGCGGGGTGTGCGGCTGCGGCTGCTGTGCAGGTTGTTGAGGTACGGCAGCACCGCTGCATTCGGCCGTTGGCGCTGCCGTACTACGCTTACCACCGCCACGGTTCCGCCGGCCCTGAGGGATTTGCATCTGGGTCGCAGCTGCTGCCGCTGCTGCGGACGACGGACCGGCCCCACTGCCACCATGCTCACGTTTTGTAGCTTTGGCGGCTTTGGCTTCCCGCCGTAGTGCCGTACACATGGCGCCGTATAAGGCGCGGGTGCCGTACGGCCCGAGCAATAGTCGTACATCACGGCTGCTCAGGCAGCCGCGGCATCTGGAAGTCGGGCAGGCCAGGGGCGCTGCAAGGTCGAGCAACGTAGGGTTCTGCTGCAGTACAGCTGGATCCCCGCCTCCGCATCCTCCGTTGGCTTGTCCAACCGCCTGCCCTGCCGCTGCTAATTTGATCACGGGACCGGCGGCAGCCGCGGTAGCCGCAGTCGACGCTGTAGCCGCTGTTAGTACGGGTTGAAGCTGGGCAGCAAGGGAGCTAAGCGGAAGGGTGCACCCGCATCCGTCCAAGGAGAAGGTCTCATCTGCAGGCCTCCTGCCGGCTGCGTCAGGATGCTGACCCAGATCGGGAATAAGCTCTGACCTTGGTCTGCGAGCCTTGTTGGGCCCTGCAGCATGACCTAGATGCGGTCTGGGTATCAAGCTGTTGAACTTTGGCGCTTCTTCGTCATCGTCGATAATGGTGACATCAGCGACGGGCTGCCGGGCAGTTTGACGCGAGGCTCGAGTATTGATGGTGTTGCGCTTTTGGGGTTCGTCAAAGTCGTTTGCAAGGTCAACCACGTCTTTGCTATTCCCAGCAGCGGTTGCTCCAGGCACGGGCTTGGGAGGAGGAAGAGCAGCAGCTCCTGTATCATCGTCATCGGACAATGTAATGGGGTCATCGGGTCCGGACTGAGGGACGCCAGAGCGCAGCGCCCCGCAGAGTTCACAGCTTGGTAGGAGACCAGAGTTGACGAACGTGCAGCTGTCGCAAGCCCAGTCGCACGGCATCGTGTCTCTTAACCCTTCGGTTGTTGCAAAGAAGACCAGCAAGCGTGTTGCGGGAAGGACAGTTATGCCTGTTGCTTGCCAGATGGGTATGAATATATGTTGTTTAGCAACCTATGTTGCTCGGTAAGCGTGCAGCACCTTCGCAACTCAAGTTCGTCCTAAAGCCAGGGCTGTGGAGCCCGTTAGGATGTAGATCTTCGGTGCACCCTTGTTATAGCTTCCTTGTTACAGGGGCTGGTCATCTGACACTGTTGATGAGCGCTAAGCGCGGAATGTGTACCGGTACGGCTTCTCCTGTTCTCTCACTATAATCGTGCAAGTCCACCATACAATGCTTGTTCCCGGTTCGACAACTGTCCTGATCAGCGCGGCCGTCCAGCAAGATTGGAAACAACCTACCTTGGCATGATCTGTGCTGCGTGCTGCGGTTGGCGTCGGAGCCGGATTTCAAGTCATGCCTACGCTCACAGCATACGCCTTCGCTTGTCCTTTTATGATGCCGTTTTGCTAGCATTGAAAGTAGAAGGATCAATAGGATGCTAGCTGTGTTGCGGCCAACACTCATACCGCTAATGCCAGGCTTGCCCACAGGCTTACCACGTCTAGGAGGGGAGCGTAGAAGACGACTATACGTTGAAGCTAAGAAGGGAGCTAACCGTGGCAAATCCGTCGCAAAAGAGAACTTACCTAACAAAATCTGCGCAACATGTGGTCTGCCTTTCACATGGTAGGCCCAACGACCCAAGAAGTGCCAAAATGCAGGGATGCTGCATACCCATAAGAAAATCAAAGCGCTGTTTGCTTGAACGCACAGGCGGAAAAAGTGGAAGGACGTGTGGGAAGAAGTAAGGTGAGGCTGGTGTCCAAGCGTCGTCTGTGGTTAAGCTTGCAGCTGGCCCTCGACCCATGCACCCCCATCACGCCCCCATGCCTACCTTCCTCGACATATCGTCCCTCAACACCTCCACATCTGCAGGTACTGTAGCGAAAGATGCAGGGGAAACCGTGGGAAACGTACGGATGTGGGCAACACAGAGGCCCCAGCTAGCGAGTAGCGATTGCACCCGGGGAGTTTGCGGCCTGCAAACGGGAGAATTTGCAATTAGCTTGGATCAGGCGTTTACCAGCCGACTAGCGTTGCTGTGTGGAAATGGGTTTCCTGGTGATAATGTAGGCTCCTTGCGACTCGGACTCGGGGTAAAGCGCACAGCAGTACGTACACAGCGGACGTTCCCTCGGCCATCGCGCTGTATATGAGGTGAGCAGGTTGGCCGCCTGCAATGCGCTGCTGGCGGAAGGATGGGAGGAGGCGTCCGCTGTTGAACGCATGGGTGCGATCAGCGGGTCTGGGGTCGGTGACCGTGCGAGGTACCGGTAGGCGAGCAAGAGGCGGAGGAGCGTTGCAGTTTTGGGTCCGCTTATCTAGGTTGTTAGGTGGGGCCATGGCTCCACGGAGGTTGCTGCACGCACGGATGAGTGGGGTTACACAGGGTTTCAAAGCCACCGCCGTGTAACTGGCCTGTGGTACATAGGCCGTCCGAAACCAAGCAGCATCAGCAGCAGGATTAGTAGCATCACCAGCAGTCAGACATCAGCAGGCAGCCCAGCAGCAAGGAGCAGGGAGACGCAACCAGCGGCCATGCTGACGGTGTTTTACGGATGCAGGTTCCAGCCGCAGGATGTATGTATCCATACGTGCACGCTTAAACTCCTGGCTTGCTGGGCAGCTGGATTTGCTACCCTCCTGCATTGCGAGGGACCGAGGGCTGTTGTTGGTACGGGCCTTCGCGGGGTTAAGATTGCGTGCCGGTTGGATTGCGTGCCGGTTGGATTTCCTCGGTGTAAAGCTTGATCAACAAGAGTTAGGGCAGCGTAAGGATTACAGGTATCATCGCTCGGCGTCGGCGGACAGGTGGGCACGGTTGGGAAGTTGGGCGCAGCTGCTAGTGCCCACGGGGCCGCGAGAACTTAGTATATATTCATTTTAAGCTGTAATATAAGAAACTGTTTGTGTCGCAACCTTCGCCAGGGCGAAGGGCTGGGCAACACACTGCAGAATTTCCGTACCAGAGGCCGACCATAAGCACCAATGCGCGAATGGACGGAGATGCTGCTTAAACTGGCTGATATCTGTTGGATCTTGTAACGTGCAAATGTTTCGCTATGGATAACCTTCTAGGCGTGCCTTCGTGACTTTCAGTATCACAGGTGCTGCATACTCCTAATGAGCCCGTAGACACATGCCCTTAAGAGCAGCCATACAACGCTGTGCAGCATCTGTCATGGCCTTAGGAAAGCTATACAAGCGTCTGCTTGTTGCAGCTGGTGCAGTCGCATTAATAGTTGCTAAGTGGTTCTGCACACCGGTATGGCGACGGCAACCTGCAAGTCGGCAGGTGAGGAAAACGTGTTAAGTTCTACCTAGCGCGAGGCCTTGGTTGGCTCATGAGTTAACGCCCTTGCTAGGACCGCGCTAATGAGGGGCCACCTGAAGCGGAAGCCTTGCTTACACCGGAGGATAAAGCTGATGGCGACGCCCCTTCAGCTGGGGAACAACTTCCTGATGAAACTGCATACGAGCCAGCGGAGCTGTCGCGACCCGTCGATGGCGCGCCTGTTGTACCCGAAGACGTGGTCGTGGAGGCTGTGTTTGATCCTCAGCCTGAGGAGCCCTTGCCTTTGCCGGTTGAAGACGCGATCGTGCCTGACTCAGCCACAGACCGTGCCGATGGCGCCATGCCCACAGCAGCAGCAGCTCCGCTCTCAATCCCTCTACCACCAGTTGCTAGTGATCATCCTGTTGATCTTAGAGAACCAATAGATGAGGAATACCTCAAGTCCCTGCTGGATCAGGAGTTCGGACCGCCTAAGTTTGCAGTCCGCAAGGCAGGGCCCGCAGTCGCGCCTGCGCCCCCAAAGGAGCAGCAACCCCCAAACCCCACCGACGAGGTCTCGCTGCGGGAGCTGCTAGACCAGTCTTTCGGGCCTCCCAAGTTTGCCGTACCGAAGCCGGCTTCAAATCCCACCACCAGTAGCATGGAACTAGTCCCAGATCTCAACGCATCAGCTCAGGATGCTGCTGCTCCTCTGGACGGGGCCTCTGCTTCCTCGTCAGGAGCAGCAGCACCACCACCCGTGCCAGCTGAACCCCTACTTAACGGCAGCGGCAGTGACTGTTGCAACGGCGGCAACATCAGCGCAAGGAACCACATCCCTGTGGTGGAGGAGCAGCAGCCTGAGGAGAAGGCGGCAGAGGCAGGTAAAGAGAAGCAGGTTGCTGCTACTGCGGCGGCCGCAATCCCAGATGCTGCGGCCGGCGCTGCTGCTGTGGAGACGAGTCTGAGGATGCTAGAACTCACTGTGACGCACGGGCCGGCTGCTGGCAAGCGCTTCGTTGCGGACGACCCAGCCATTGTGGTAGGGGGTGGGGCCTTGGGGTTCTGGGTTAAGGAATTAACCAAATCCGAGCTTCGGTGGAAATTCGCGATTGGGGTTTCACATGCGCGACATTCGATCTTGTTTCACTGTAGCCTGGCTTCTAGTACTGGCTTTCATGCCACGCGTTGCGTTGTTCATCCTTCCTGGGCTGCTGCCAGCAGCGCCATGCGTCTTTCCCGTTGCGTGCGGTACAATGCAGGTACCGAGTCGCAGCGCTCCTTAACCTCCCTTCCCAACCTTGTACACATGCCCTATGATGCACCCAACGTCCTATGCTGTCCCACATCCCCGCCGCTAGTATTCAACGCATGGTTCTTCTTCTTTGACCCACCTCCCCAATACCCCAATGCCCACACCTCTACCATGCAGTACAAGATCGGCCGGCTGCCCGATTGCTCCTTCCAAATCCTGGACCAGGAGGTGTCGGGGCGCCATGCGTCCGTGCGCTGGGACGGAGCCGACAACAAGTGGAAGCTGGTGGGTAATGGTTGGCGGGTGGCTGGTTCCAGGGCTGGGGCTGGCGTTCCTGCAACGCCTGCTCATCCCTTTTTCCTCACTCTGCCCCTTTCTTCTGACATCCCTCCTCCCGCCTGCTCCATCCTCTCACCCTCACCCCCCGCTCTTCACTCCTCAGCACGACGTGGGCTCCCTCAACGGCACCTCTGTGGCCGGCACCGCCATCGCTCGGGAGTACAAGGTACCTGGGCCCGAGGTGGCTCTGGAGGAGGGGCACTGCGTGTCGCTGGGCAGCGTTACCCGCATGACGGTGGCGCTGCTGAGGCTGCCGGTCAGGCAGGCGAAGGCGGGGGAGATGGCGGAGGCGAGGGGGGCCAGGGAGGCGGAGACGATGGGGCCAGCGGTGCTGAAGAAGCTGCATGCCGGTGAGCGGGATGGGGGAGTGCACGCTGGGCTGTGCAGAAGGGGAGGGATGGGGACGGGAGCCAGGGACTTGGAAGCGAGGGTGGGAGGAGAGGGAGAAGGGAAAGAACTGAAACCAGAGGCGGCAGAGACGTGAATGGAAAGCAGAGCCTTAATGCCTCCAGTCCTCGCCGTAAGCCAGCATTCACACAGGTGCGATAGCCAACGCACGCCTCCAACTCCTCTCTCCTCACCGCCCCGCTGCCCTTACAGGTTACGGCGCCGCATCCAAGCCAGCCAGGCCATCAGCAGCAGCGGCCTTCGCACCCCCCTCTGCCCCCTCATCAGCTCTAGCGGCCCCCTGTCGTGAGCCCCCCTGCTCCTCCGAAGCAGCTGCCGTACACCCCCATGCAGCCTTCGCCTCCCTTGCTGCTGCTCCCGCAGCGGCCTGCTCGGCTGGCGGCCCCCCGCCCTCCGTGTCCTCCTCCATTTCCTTTTCCTCCGTGGCCCTGTCGGCTGGCGCCGGTGGGCTGCCAGCGCCGCTGGCCCTGCTAGACCTACCGCACCTGGGGGCGAGGCTGTGTGTGCATAACAAGGTGGGGAGGGGTGGCAGGACGTGGGTGCATGCGACAGGCAGGAGGAACGCCCCACTTACCTACCCCATGCCCATACCCATGCCCTCCTTCCGTGCCCATCTGCCCATCTGACACTCCGCCCCTGCCCGCCTGCACCCCACCTGCTCCCTGTTACTGCCGTACACACTCAGCTGGGCTCGGATCACAAGCGCATGAACCAGGGCTGCGAGGATGTGCCGTACTGGGAGCTGCCGTACGAGCCGTACGGCAACGGCGGCATCCTGTGTGTCTTTGACGGCCACCATGGAAGCCAGGTGGGGGCGGGAATGGGACGGGCAATCTGTCATGACCGGCAACGTGTGTCGTAGTTCCTAGGGTGCTGCGTTCGTGCCCCGTCCCTGGCCCTTGTGTGCATCATCTGAGCCCGCATTGCATGTACGGAGAATGCAATCCGACTGCAGCAGCTACATTGCGACGCACCTACGGGTACTTGAACATGTCCCATGCCGCCCACCCGTCCATGTCATGTTTCACTTGCACGCGTGAGACTCGTTGTCGCGCGTGCACTGTATTGGCGTGTAGTCTGCTGTGGGCATGCAGCCTTGGAAGGATCACCCCTGGAGCTCCAAAGCCGGCACTTAGCCCCGTGACGACTTCCAGCCCCGGGTTTCCTCTCCCCCAGGCTGCTTTGCAAGCACGGGAGCACGTTCCCGCAATCCTGCGATCCAAGCTGCTGTTGCGTGACGGCAGGCAGCCACCGCCGCTGCCGCCCCTGCCGCCGCCGCCACAGCAGCAACAGCAGGGGGCTTCGCAGCATTCATGTAGTGTAGTAGAGGAGGAGGAGCGGGAGGCACAAGAGGAGGGAGGGGCAGGGCAGCAGCAGGCGGAGACGACCTCTCAGGAGCAGCAGCAGCCTCAGGAGCAGCAACAACAGCAGGGAGAGGGGGAGCAGCAGCAACAACCGCAGCAGCAGCAACAACCGCAGCAGCAGCAACAAAAGCAGCGTGGTGCAGCAAGTGGGACGACGGGAGAAGGGGGTAGCATGAGAGGAAAGCGGCCTGAGGAGGACAACGAGGGGGGCGGGGTTAAAGGAGGGAAGAAGAAAAAGCGGAAGACGGAAAAGAAGGCAGAGGAGGAAGGAGCTGCTGTCGGAGTGGAGGGGCAGCCTTCAGGCTCAGCGACGCCGGCGGAGGCGGCAGTAGCCATGGTGCCGCCCGCAGCAGCAGCTGGTGCTGCTGCCCCTGACACGGGTGCTGCTGCAACTGCTGCTGTTTTGCCGGCGTCGGCGGCAGCAGGGAGTGGCGGTACCTCAGGGCAGCAGGCGGCGCTGCTTCCTCCGCCGCCCCAAGGGCCGCCGCTGCCGCCACTGCTGCGGGGCCGCGACGCCGCCTCACAAAAGGCCCTGCTGAAGGTGTGCTACTGCCGGGATGGGGGCCGTCCCCTCGCTAGCAGGCACAGCACCTACCATCATGTCCCCCGCATGCAACCATCCGTCACAACCATCCGCGCCTCCATCCATGCTCCTTCCCCCTAGCCGCCCCTTATTCCCATTGCCTTGCCCTTCCTCGTGGTTTGGTTTCTCCTTTGGCTTACCCTTCGGTCTGGTTCCTCTCCGCCCCCCTCACACCACACATTGGAATTTCTTCCCCCCCTCCCCCCCAAGGATACATTCCTAGCCGCCGACAAGCGCATGTCCATGGAGGAGGGCTGCACCGCCACCCTGGTGCTGCTGGAGGCGGCAGATGCAGCAGGAGGAGGAGCAGGAGGGGGCAGGGGGTGGCTGCTGCAGGTAGGAGGAACCGGGGGGCTGGCTGCTGCGGGTAGGAGGGGGCATGGAGGATGGGGGAGGGGATTGACGACCCTCGTGTACTGCCATGGAAGCGTGGGTGATGGGGAGATGGCTGTCTGGCATCCTCCCTTTCGTCGAACACCCCCTAGCTATGTTCCGCGGCTTCAGGCTGTGCCTGCGGCACCTCCAGTAAAGCATTCTGGACCCCCTCTGAGCCGCGCCCTCCTCCCCTCCCTCCTCCCCTGCTCCCCACCCGCCACGCCAGAGCGCCAATGTGGGCGACTCCAGCGCTCTCCTAGTCAACTTTACCAGGTGGGGTGGGGCGGGATGGGGGGGCCCAAACAGAAGAAAGTGAAGCACTGGTATCCCCCAATCCACAGCCCGACTCATGCAGTGAGCAAACCCCTCCCCTCCCCATGCGACCTTCTCCGGCCCCCTTCCCTCTCCTCCTGTTTACCTAATCCCCTCCTGTCCACCTCCCCTCCCTCCCGCAGGGGCAGCTGGTGCAAGCTGTCTGAGGACCACCGCATCGCCTCCTCCGTGTCGGAGCGGCAGCGGCTGGCGCGGCGGGGACACACCGTGCGCAACCGGCTGTACGGGCTCAACATCAGCCGCATGCTGGGGGACAGGTGAGGGGGGGGCATCCATTGTGGGCGTAGCTAGCTCTTCTCTTGGCCCCTGAACCCAACCCATCGCACACGACCCATGCACACCATGGCGTCAGAAAGCAAGCCGTGTCATGCGCTCATGTCCCATGCCGCCCCGCCGCTCCCCCTCCCCTCCCCCCGCACCCCCTAGGTTTCTGAAGGAGGAGGACCTGGGCTTTCTGGCTGAGCCCTACGTCAGCTCGGTGACGGAGGTGCGTACGGCACCAGGGCTTGGAGCAGGGCTTGACTTAGGGCCGCAGGACCAGCGAGAAGGCCGGGACTAGGATGGGTCAGCGTGCATGTTTGGGAGGGATCTGCTGCGGAAGCCGCCACGCGTTGGAAAGCATCTCCTCAGGTACTATACCCTCGCACCTTCCCACCCCTTCCTCCAACGCCTGCTGCCCGCCCCCATGCTGCCGTCTCCGTTTATCCATACACAAACAGGTTTCCCCCGGCGAGTGTGCGGTGCTGGTGGTGGCGAGTGACGGGCTGTGGGACGTCATGTCGGAGGAGCGGGCGGCACGGCTGCTGCTGCAGGTAATATAGGGCGGGGAGGGGTCTGCTGCAGCAGGGGAGGGCAGGGCGGGGAAGAAAGGAGACGGTAGCCTTGCAGTGGATGATAACGGCACGTTGGACCGCAGTAGTGAAAGCACGTCCCCGTCTCCTCCACATGGATTGAAACAGCTTGTCGTACACGCCTCTCAACACCTCCCTTCCTCTGCCCTCTCAGGAAGCTGCCAAGTCCACCACCTCCCCCAACTCCTCAGCCTCCGGACTAGCACAACCACCCCCAGCACAAGCCCCTTCTTCTTCTTCTTCCACCGCTGCAGCCGCCACCGCCTCCACCCCCTCCATACCCGCAACCTCCTGCGGCCCTGCTGCTGCCCCCGCTACCCCTGCTGCTCCTGCACCTCCATCTCCGCCGCCGCCTGCTCCACTCAGCTGTCAGGCAGTAGCTGATCTGCTGCTGACTCAGGCGCTCATGCTGAGATCTCGAGATGACATCACCATTGCCGTACTGGAGATGGGGCCGCACCTGTAGCCGCGAGGGTTTAGGGGCGAGGAGGAGGAGGAGGAAAATGATAAAGGGCGGCTGCTGATGGAGGAGGGGGAAGGGCGGAGGATGGGAGCACAGCGGTGACTAGGGTGTGAGGGGCACGGGGGCGCAGTGGATGCCGCGGTGATGGTGTGTTTGGCATGTGTCCTCTGTGTGGCGTTGTGCTGGGGGGGGTAGGTGAGAGAGGAGTGCGGGTGAGCGTGGCATGGGAAGGGCGGAGGTGGGGAGGAGGTGTTCCAGGAAAGGGGGCCGGGTGTATGGGCTGTGGAAGGACGGCTGACGGTCTTGAGGGCGCCTAAGTGATGACCACCAACACTTTGGTGGTGGTTAGGTCCTCAACCGGAGCGAGAAGGGAATGGGAAGCAAGTGGGAAGGAGGAAAGATAGAGGGGCTGAGGCGGCCCAGGCCTGTGTGTTTATAATGCCCATGGTCATTGCAGTTAACCTTCCATGGTGCTTGTGAAGTAGGTCGGAAAGAATAGCAAGGCTCCGAACTGATACGCGGGAGTGCTGTTAGGTACGATAAACCAGTCGGTTGGCTGGGTAGCTAGCTGGCTTGCGTGACCCAAAAAGGGGGATGGGTCAGGTGGAGCCCCCGGGTTGGTTGGGTGTTAGAGAGGAGGGCCGTTTCTAGAACTTGGTTGTAGGGGCGCGAGGATGGGTACTGGTGCAGGCATGCGGTGCCCTTTTCCGGCAGCCCTTCTTTCTCTTTCCTTAGGTGTGTTTTCTCCCTCGTCACGTTATATATTAGAGACAGCCGGGTAGGGTGCGGTAGTCCCATGCGGTCAGGGAACAGGAACGGAAGCTCTCTTAGGGGAGCCCTGGGTTGCATGCTTGGGACTAGCCGTATAGGTAACCATTGTCCTCCTTACAGCAGGTACTTCGTTCCAGGCTCTAGGTGTCAGGCACCAGGGATTCTTGACAAGAGACGGGGTGGGGTTGGGGCCTAATAGGAGTTGGATATTGCGCACAGGCCGGCATGGGGATGGGTTGCGGAGGAGCTGAGGTTGGTCGTGAGCATCAAGTGGTGGGCCTCAGCACACACCATTTTCACAGGGTGCCGTGAGGCGTGACGGTCTCTTGCTGTCTCGGTGGTTAGAAAGCATGTGGGCTGAAGGGGAAAGAGGAGCATGCAACACATCTTCCATCCCTGCTCCTTTGATGACTAGTTATAGCTGCAGATGTATGAGGGGCTGGATGGTGAACGGGTGTGGATGGTGTTTGAGCGGGTGATTTGCACTACTGGCGGAGGTTTTCCGCGCCTGCAGGTAGGGGCGTGTAAGGGTACACCTCCACACGCATGCTTTGAATCCTCCTGCGGGCATGCGCAGCTGCGTATGCTTGCATGTGTGTTCCAGCGGTTACCTGCATCTTAACTCACGTAGCGGTCTCCAGGCCGAAACGTGCCAGCCTGGTATTAAAGCTTGCTGGAGTGAGAGCGGGAAACCATGAGGGGAAAGAATGCAGTACACCGTGATTGCAACGAAGCAAGCGACGACCGGTAGGAAGGACCCCTGATGGGACGTAGGCGAGGGATCCCCATGCGGGTCGATACATACAGCCAGTATGCACATGCTCTCGTTCAGTTCTACATGTCCACAACTGAGCCAAACCCCCATTGTATCGACCATGCTACACTGCCTTGCTAAGAAAGTCAAACCTGACCATTCCACACACGGGAAGTTAAGGCCACATCATGACTCATCAAGTGCACAGTCAATACGAAATCGCAGGCTTCCAAACCCGAAGCAATATCGGAACAAATAGCGCATGAAGCACTAGCTACTTGGGAACTCCTTGGTGTCTCGCAGGAATTTTACGTTTTGCATGCTCAAGTAATCACGTACGGAATGTACGAATACCAATAACGGACATGGTATTGGTAATCACACGTAGGCCAGCGGAATCGCCCGCCTTCGCTCACAAACAGGTAATATAAACATACCGAATAACAAGCAGATAAAGAGATCATGTGTTGGACGTGTGCTTTGACCCACGGACGGACGGGATACAGGCACCCAACGGGCCGCCAGATAAGGAAAAAACAGTTACGAGCTTTCCACGGACGCCCAGTTCATGTTGCCCAGCTGCTGGACCCTTAATGCTGAACCCACACCTCCCTTCCTCCGCCTCGTCTTCCTCCGCCTAACCCAAACCCTCGGACCTCGTGGACAGACAGTACTATCCTAGCCTCCTCCTTCATTCGTTTCACCCTGAACTTTAAACCGGCTCAGTTCAATCCGCGACGGTTCCTTCCCCTCCCCTCCCTTCCACTCGCACTTTTTCGGGACCTTCCCCCACCCGTATCCCCATGCCCCTCGCAATGCCCCGAATGGCTATCTCATGCGCCCGCAACACCAAACGAGGCCCGGTGATCCGCTTCAGCAGCCCATCCCGAAGCATCAAGGATGTGAGCTGCGTCACATTCCCATACACACGGCACTTCTGCGGAACAGGGGGAGGGATAGAGGTATTACCGGTTTTAGCGGGGACGTTGAAGAATGACGCCAGGAAAACTACCCTCCACGCTCCCCAACCTAGCGTTCACCTCTCCCCCCCAACCCCAACCCCACCCGCCCGCCCGTCCCCCGCCATTCCCCATCGGCCCTCTCACCTCCCCATCTCTGCGCACCGCCCCCTCACTCCACAGAGAGGTGGCGAGCCAGAGTTCCCGGGCCGCCTGAGGGCCCTGTACGGCGGCCATGTAGGCGTTGAGGTCGAAGTCTAGACAGAAGCACTCCTTGACCTGAGGACAGATTAAGGAGGACGACCGAGGAAGAGGACCGGGAAGGAAGGAGGATAAGGTGCTGGGATCTCAGCAAGATGGCTACAAGACGTATCCACCGACGCCACTCTCCTCCCGCCTACTGAGGCTACTTTAGAACCACCCCTCAGAACGCCCGCGCACATTCCATCTCACCCTCCTCACGCGGCATGATAGTTAAGTCCCTCGCCACGTCCCTCCCCCCATACCGCTCGTACCTTGGTTCTGTTTCCCGCCGCCGCCGCCGCTCGGTATTCGGGCGGGCAAGAGCTCCGGGCCTTACCCAGCATGTCCGTCCAGCTGCTGTACTGCAGATGTAGCAGCAAGAAGGACGCGTTTTGGGCGCGGAATTCCCCATCTGGGTTGTGCTGGGGGTGCTTCCAGCTGCGGGTGAGAGGGTGGGTGTGGGGCCGAGGGGCGCGAAGGGTGAGAGATGCGAGTTAGGATTGAAGAGTGGCGCCGGCGGGGGCGTGGTTTGAAAGGGAGAAGGGATTTGTGTGGGGAGGTAAAGAGGGGTGCTCTCAAACACCCTTCCTGACACCCTTCTTACATGGCGTTCCGAGGTCCTGTGAAGTCGTGCACTCCGAACATGCGGATGGGGCCCTTGTCCGTCCTGCCGATAGCCTTGCCGTTGTAGTACAACTGTTACAGGCGTCGTACGGCAAGGGTTTCGGAGTCGGGTCGTGAGGGGGGAACAGAGTTGAGGGAGAAGCAGCTAACAGGTAGCAGCAACAAGCCCCTCCTTTATTCCAAACCAACCTTCAGCCGCCGCCCTCTCCTGTTTCCCCAGCCGCACCTGGTAATTGTTCCCATGCGTGCCCAACCGCAGTCGGTACTGCAGATCCGTTGCTTTATCAGGCAACACCGACCCATGGGTCCTGCCGGAGAGAGGAAGGTCAGGAAAATTTAAACCACAAGTGAGGGCAAAAGGCATTAGGGGGCGGCGAGGGCAAGGGGAAGAGGAGCTGATCCAAAATGACTATTACTTAAAGCTGAACGGCTACACCGGCATCACCCTTTACCCCCAACCCCTTTAGCCTCCCACTTGAACAGCGTGACCTCCTCAAACTTGTTCACCACGCCCTCCGCCTCCACGAGCGCCTCATGGTTCAGCACATGCAGCCAGGCGACCCAGGGAGGCGTCGAGGCCAGGCCGGCGGCTAGGGTGGTTTCTGGGGAGGAAGATGTTGGAAAAGGGAGGGTGCGTAAGGAGGAGGGAAGGGGAGACGGCAGCGGAGGAGGGGCAGATTGGGACCGGTAGTCAGGGCTTAGGACTTGAAGCGCGGGGACGAGGGGGCAGGTCGGCAACAGAACGGACCGCTCCTCACCTAATCCTGCCTCACCTGGCACCAGAAGCTCATCCACGTCAAGGTGCGCCATCCACTGGAACCCCTCCTCCCTCGCCAACGCGAACGCAATGTCCCCTCCATGGGACTGCTTGAACATCATGCGCCAGTTGCCCGGCCTCACGCCCCACTCGTGAGTAGCAGCGGCTTCACGGTACTTTTGTACGGCGTCCGGCGACCCGAAGGGCGGCGCGAAGAGGATGAGATGCAGCAGCGAGGGGGAGATTTGGTTGAGGGCTGCGAAGGCTTCAGTATCGCGGCCCTGGAAGGCGAGCTGTGGGCGGATGTGGGATCAGAGAGAGAAACCAAACGGAAGGAATTTCAGGGGTTAGGGCAAGGCAGTGAAGGCACAGAAAGCGGCTGTCGGTAGCTGCAGGAGTCGAGCAGCATGAGAGGGAATGAATATCCTAACGCATTGAGATGGAAACATGGAATACGGTACTCCCCCAGGCGCCCTCTCATCTTGGTTGAATGCGGTAGCCCCGTGACGCCCTTAGGAGGGCAGCCCCCCTAGGCGCGCGTCCCCTCCCGACCTCCCAACTCTGCCCAATATGCCGTACATGGCAGCATCCGTTCGCACTTACATAGAACCTGCACACCCCCAGCTGCAGATGCCACTGCATCCACGGCAGCAGTGACCTCCGAAGCCCCCACAAATTGCCGTACCACATAGTGAACATTGCCACGCGTGTGGTACCCGCAGGCGTGCTGTTGCTACTGCTATTACCGGTACTGTTGCTGCTGTTGTTACCGTTGCTGCTGCTGTTACTGTTGCTGCTGCTATTGCTGCACATCTGCATGCAGAGGGATGGGTGTATACGGGATTGAGTACTGGGTGGGGTTTTGGATTGTCGCCTCCTGTTCCCCTTCGCTCCATGCCTTAGTACTGGGATAAACGGCCCGTTTCCTAAACACACACACACACACCCGCCCTTACCTGGTCTGCTAGCAGGTTTATGAAGGCAATCCGAGCAGGAAGGGTATCCAGCTCCTGAGGGGTCCAGGAGGAGGGGCGGTTGCGTGGAGGTGGGTTACGGCACCATAGTGGTAAGCCTAAGACAGGCATGACGCACCCTCCCCTCTCCTCTTCCTCCCTGACCCCTCCTCCTCCCCGATCATTATCACACCACACTTTGGAATTTCTTTTTTCCCCGACCTCTCCACCTCAATCCTCCTCTCCCGTTCTCTATAATCCTGCGCAACCCCACCCCGCTGACCTGCATGGTGTCCAAGGTTTGCAAGCCCAGGTCCGCAGGAGTGGGCCGCGACTGGTTGCGAACCGCCGCCTTGCAGTCTACCGGCTGCTGCTGCTCCATGGCCTGCGATTGCACGGGTGCTCTTTGTTTGGCTAGTGTACGGTGGGCTTGGGCATGGAAGCAGGAGGTGTTGAGAAGTCAAGTCATGAGCGAGTCCTGTGTGGATGAAGTTGAACATGGGCTGGGAATATGCACAGGCATCTAGGATGTGGGGCAGGGCGAGGTAAGTACACAGCTGTAGGAATAAGGGCTGATGGTGACGGGGCAAGACAGCCCATGCGCGTGGAGCTTGGCATGCGAAGTTAGCGTAGGAAGAGTGGGAGGAGCTCGAAAGGTTTGAGCTGGCGTACCGCGTACGCAGGTGGTTGCGTGCAGGCCATCGCCGTACATGGCCCGTCAGGACATTCTATATGGATATCTAGAGCTACTGCCAGTTCTTACAGCAAAAGCCAATTAAGGAATTAATAGTAGTACTTCAAAGGCGACTTACGTCCAAATAAGTTAGTAGCTCGGAGTATACTGGTATGTCCACCTACGCAGAGGCAGGATCAGCAGCAGACTGTAAGCGACATTGGCACCTACGCTTGCAAGTTTCACCAATTCCCGATGGGCGGAATTTGACCGAATTCCGCCCGCCATAGTTAAGGTGTTTCCATGGGCACCAACCTTTTGGCAGACTTCTAAAGTCAGTATGTATTGTTACTTCTAAAGTTCATACAGGAAATTCAAAACAGCTGTCACTCGGCAGCTGCCATTTGACTAAAGCCACAACAGCATTTGCTTATTTGCACGACTGGACCCATACAGACGCCTTACCTCTCCAAGCAATCTTCGTTTCCATGAAGTGACATGCGTCGGGGACGTATTTTTCGGCATCGGCTGCGGCTGTGGGATGCTCCCAACAGACATTTCATGTCTGCCCGAAGCTCCTTCCTCATCCCGTAAGCTGGGTAAGCTATGTAAATCTGACGTCGAGCTTGACACAAGCTGCCGCCTATGCGGCCAGGCATCTGCTTGCTGTTGCCATGTTGCCGTGACAGTAATAAGGAATAACACCGCTAGGCATTTCGTCTGCACCATTGTTTACTGTCGCCAATCGTTTTACCATTACCTAGATGGTATGCCTATGGGAGGCAGGGGCAAGGCTACCGGCTGCATGCCGTAGGCTCGTAGGGCCCTATGTATGGGGTCTGCAAACGACTGTAATCCGAACCTGTGCGATTAGATGCGGGCCTATAGGCTAAGCAAGAAACAAGTCAGTGGCACAAAAATGAGGCTATACTGCTAGGTAAGCGTGGCTGTGCCTTACCCATCCAAGCCCCCCACGAAGCGCCGCTTGCCCGCCCACCGGGAGTAGGTGAACCTTTTTCTTTGCCCTCTCACGTACAAACTCGTCCAATTAGAGTGTCGCAACATTGATTAATGGTTTGTTCCCGCACGAGCCAACCAGGACAAGAAGGCAGATGTCTACGAGTGTGTCGCTGGGCGTCGCAACATATGCGACCGATTGAGGGCTTCTAAACGCCAGCTTTTGCATGCTAACATCTTGCTTGGTAACTTTTATGCGATAGTGCATCGGAAAGGGGTGGTAAAGAGGTAGTAAGAGAAGGGAGATTGTCCCAATGACTGTACGAAAGGCAGGAGGTAACATGCCTCGTATGCAGTGAGGATCCCCCCAGGTCTAGACGATACACCAAATGGCATTGCGTTAGCGTCACAAGCAGGAGAGCGGCGTGAACCTTTGTAGCAGACGGCAATCAACCGTCATTCGTCACAGCAGCCGCCTAGCTTAGACACCATGTCCACGAAAAAGGCTTTTGGCACAAGTATGCGTCCAGGAATCCTCGTTCTGTTGTGTGGATTGCCGCTATTTTCGGTGCGTCCGCTTGGTCCGTCATGGATGGCATCTATCGCCATTTGGCCATCCGCCCGCCTTCGCGGTTAAAGGCGTCATTGTTGCTCGATGCACAGGCTTATGACTGCAAAGCACATCTTTGGATTGATGATGCTGTTCGGCATTGGTTCCGCCCTTCATACGAAGTCGCGCGGCAATCAAACATGACGATTGAAGAGAGCCTACAGGCCATTGCAAACATACGCTGGTGCGTTTGCGAAAATGGTCTTAATAAGGATGTTCAGGAACGTGCCGCGTGTATGTTTTGCAGCCCCTTGATATTTTCCAGTCCATCCTCCGCCCATCCAAGGGCCCATCCCTTCAGGGACATGCCTCCCGGCCCAGAGACAACCATGGCAACTTCCTGGTGCATATCCTTCAACCATTTGTCCCTAGTAACGCTCTTTCTCCTATCCTCCTGCCCAACCCAACGCAACCCGGCCTCTGCCCTTACGCAGGGGCGACTATCCAACTGGCAAAACCCTTGTCGTACTTTCGTACGACAATACAACCTCTCTGTACCGCCTTCAATTTAAGCAGCTCCACCCACACAACGAGCCGCACAAGCCCGTGGGCATGCAGCGCGTGTTGGAACGGGCTGTACGGCAGCACAATGAGGATCTGGTGGCGGCGCTGGGCGGCCGCGAGATGAAGTTCATATTTGGGACGGAGGTGCGTGGAGGGTTACGGGTGCGGTGCACGTGGGGTAACTACGTGCAAGTGTTTTGGGTGTACTGCAACGCACCTGACCTGCGAAGTGTACGGAAGCACCCCGCTGGGCCCCTGTACACGCGAGCATGTACGGGGCCCCAGTAAAAGTGGTGAGCTGCTGGTGTCGGGGCTACTTGCATCGATTGGCTGTACTGCGTTGCGCGACGAAGGAATGCCCACTTCATGCACTTTGCAACACCTCGCTTTGGTTTCTCTCGCATGGCTGGCATGCTTCCACCCGCTTCCATCTCGCTCTCCTCGCCTTTCCTCCTCCTTCCCTCTCCTTCCCTTTTCCCCTTCCTCCCCTTCCGTAGGACTTCCCCATCGTTTCCCCCTCCCTGGCGCTGCGGCTGCCTTCCTTCCAAGCGTGCGCCTCACCCGACTATGTGGACGTGCCCGTGCCGGGTGGGTTTGGGGGGGGGGGGGGGTCAAACCAAACCATAGGAGACCACAGGTTAGGGCAAAGCAATGGGGGTCGGAAGGGCGCGTGGAGGGGGCGGCGCGGAGCGGCGCATGGCGGGGCCCCGAGCATGCCGACCTTCGCTTCAGAGCCTTACCTCAACCTAAGCATACATATGAGATACAACCCTACCCTCGCGACCAGTTTTGCGCATCACACCCTTCTCCCTCCTACCTCCTCCACCCAACCCACCCAACCCACTCCCCCCTTCCCCCTCTCCCCTCCAGACTTTACATTCCAGCACTACCCCCAGACCGCCTACTCCCCCTCCAGCTGGCGCGCGCTGCGGCGGCTGCTGCTGCTCAAGAGCGGCATGCTGCCCTGGACCAGCCGCCAGTCGGAGCTGTTCCTGCGGGGCGACGCGGGGGTGGGGTACCGGCGGGTGCTGATGCCGCTGCTGCTGGAGGCGCAGGTGGGTGGGGGCTGGAGGGTGGTGGCAACAGCAGTCGCTTCTCTCTCACTACAGCCTGCCGGTAGACAACCTGTAGACCTCCCGCCGTCCGCCCCTGCCTCGCTCCGCGTCTGCCTCCGCCTCTGCCTCGCCCCATGCCTCCCTGCCCCCCTGGTTTCCGCAGGTGAACGGGTCGGACATGTCGCTGTTCGGGGCGCACCTGAACGTCCTCTCCACCGGCTTTTACGTATCCAACAAAAGGTATTTATGCCAGCAAGGGCCCATCGCGGCCGTTCCGTACGTGTGATGGGGCGTGACAGTTGATGGGGCGTGGTACAGGTACGCATGAGCGAATGAGCCTTACAGTGATCCCAAACCGGAAGGCCCCGTAACGCGGACGAAGGGACGATGCCCTCCCTCCTGCCCTCCTGCCCTACCTGCTCCCGCCCCCCCTGGCCCCGACCCCTGCTGCACCATCACGCACCACCACCACCATCAGTCACTTCAGCCTGCTGGACGAGTGGTGCTCCTCCCGCTACCTGCTCCACAGCGGCGGACTCACCTACTCGGCTTCGCTCAAGTACAAGCTGGCGTGCGGGGCGGTGGTGATCGTCTTCCAGGGCAGGTAGGGAGTATAGCTGATGAGGGGGCGGGGGTTGAAGAAGAAGGGCTTTGTCGTGGTGTGCAGCTTCACACCGGCCGCTACACGCGTTCCACTCGTGCCTCCTCCACCTGCCCCTTCCTCCTCTTGCCCCCATCTCCTGTGCCCCTCTGCCCCTTCCTCCTCCTGCCCCCTCCTCCTGCGCCCCCACCCCCAGGTACTCCGAGTTCTACTACCCCGCCTTGCAGCCCGGCACACACCTCCTCTCCTTCCCGGAAGCCCCCCGCGACCAGCTCCTCTCACACATCGCCCCACGCATCAAGGCCGCCATAACCCGCCTGGAGACATCCCCGCCGCCTCCGCAGCAGCAAAAGCATGCAGACACCTCGCCCCCACAACATGGAGACACCTCGCCCCCGCCGCCCGCCTCCCCATTACCGCCGCCCGCATCCACGCCACCTCATTTGGCGTTGGCTGCTCGCGAGTTTGCGGTACGACAGCTAAGCGAAGCTGCGCTTGGGTGTTACTGGTACAAGGCGCTTCTGGCGTATGGGGGACTGTACTTTGCTGAGAGCGGGGCGCATGTTCCGAAGGAGGTACAGCTGGGGTGAAGGTTAGGGTAGACGATAGTGCAGCAGCGTGTGAGAGGTAGGTAGGGGCGTTGTTGTACGTACCACGACAGACCAGCATGCGTAGCCATGTGGTTGCGGTTGGTTATGCTGGTGAATGTGTATGTGTGTGTTGACTGATGAGTTTTGGGCTTGGGGGCGTGTGCGTGCTTGGGGTGCGGTGGTGTGCCGCCTGCTGTGCCACATACACCACCTCTTCTAGCGCCTGTGTATGTAGCGGTGTGCATGGGAGGATGCTGGCATGTACGCCTCTGTCATTGCTTGCCCCCCATGTGTGCCCTCCCCGGTACTTGTGCATATTGCATGTTGGGTAGAGATATTTTCCGTGCGCTAGAGTCTGCCAGTCAACTGTTAAACCTCATATGCTGTACACTCGCGTGCCGTACATTCAGGTGCATGTCGTACAATCACTTGCGTTTGTGCATGCTGGGTTGCGAGTGGGAAGGTCCATGCATCGTGCAAACAAGCGAGAGGCGTGCATGCCCCTTTCATTGCTCATGTATGCTCACTACCCGTACATGCATATGGAAAGTAGTTGCATCTATGACATGCAGGCACCCACATGTTTGATTGTCTGTTTACAATTTCTTCGTATCTCCATGCGGCCGTATTGGCCGCATGCGTGGATCCGTGTTGCTTCATTAGGGTGCATGTAGCTGATTGAGAAGAGTCTATAGCCGAGAGGCTTTGTTCTGGTTGCGCATAGCGGTGGGGTAGGCTGGATGGCCGCGGGATATGCTTTGCAGTTGCTTGGGTAGGGCGTGTTTATAGAGTGTTGCATTGCCAACGGTACAACTAATGCGCCTGGTACCGATGCTATGTGACTGCTGACGCATGCTAATGGTATGGTGCTATGGTATGGTATACGCATGGCCGTATGCTAGGCGGCCACAGGAGCTGAGTGAAGCAGCAATGCTGCGGCAAGCTAGTTACAATAATACAATTCATCCCCAACATGTGTGTGTTGTAGGACTCTTGCCGTACCGTGCCGTACATGGCACTGCTGCGCAAAAGAAGTTCTCACACGCGTACTACTAACGCGCGACACAAATAAGTGTCAGTCAGGGTTGATAGTCCCCATGCACGGCAGGACTGGACCGATATATGTCCCACCAACACACCAGTAGACGTGCGCGTGCAATCAGAATACACATGCATGGAATCGAATTGGCCCTTGATATTCAAGAGGGCCCGGAGGTCCGTACGTAGGGGGAGCCTAGAGGTGACGTTGTAGGCTCTTATTCAGTTATGCTCCGGCCCTTCCGCGACCTTGCTACAGCCATTGTCCTTCCTGTCAACAAGCAACTCAAAAGCCAACGTGCCTGGTACGACATACGGGACAAAACACCACCATGGAAACGTAAAAGTGCGTAAGACGGGCAATGACAACATGTAAGTGCCTGCATAAGAAGTCCGAAACAAGCAATAAAGCCTCAGCGCGTTCATTCTAAGACCCTGCTGCAAATTATTTCCGAAATGGTACGCTCTGATACCTGCTGTGGTTCTAACTCACACACTGCCGAAGTCACAGCCATAAACTGGTATACGAACTGGGCATGACGTCCGTGCCCAGCCAAGTGATTCGTACGACAAACCCATCCACTCACAATATACATGCATGAAAGTTAGCACCCTCATCGTGTTACTTCTAAACCGTGCGCTATCCTGCCCTATTCGACGCTTCTCTCAACCACCAATAAGTCTCGACAGACATACGCACACACCACTCGTGTAGTATAGCCATCACACGCAATCAGCCCTACATGAACCCTTCGAATTAGAGAGAAGACATCCTTCCACCACACGCCACTCCCCTCATCAATGCAACTCCACAACCCTGAGGAATCGTAGTGCTGTTCTGCATGCGAAAACATCCAACCTGCCGTGATCCATGGACTGGAACTATTGGGCCGCCTTCCCCTTAGTCCTTCTTTGCCTTGCCATTCCCGAAGGACCCGCCAGCGACGGCGTTCTTCAAGATTGGCAAGCTGGTGGTTCTGCAAAGCTTGTCCGAATTAGAGATGCGCGCCGTCTTGGATGTCGCTTTGGGGCTTGGAGGCGGAGAAGGCGAAGATTTTGACGTTCCAGGCTTGGGCGAGATAGCGAGGAGCTCCTGAGGGTGTAAATCCATGTTGCTCATCGAACTGAAGATTTTAGCGGAGGCCGCCACGGTAGCCGAGAGTAGCTTCCGTACTGCGTTTGAAGAGTCCTGAACTCGGGTTGACTCGGGCAGGACGCTTGTGGGCGAGTCGCTGGTTGGACGGCTGCCTTCGGAGTCGATGCTGTCGAGGAGCTTATTGGACCGCCGGCTGCAAGACGAGCTTGTGCTGGATCCGTTATAGTCATAATCGTGGTCTGCGGCATCGCAAGCTGAAAACGGCGAGGCTTGCTGTGGTGGAGTGCACGAAGATGGCGGCAATGCCGTAGCAGCAGCCCTTGCCGAACTCGTTCCTACTAAGGCGGTGACCGGCTGTCGCAACGAAGAGGAAACGGAAAGCCTGCTTGGAGCGCCGTTGTCCATGAGAGCACAGGCAGCTCCGTCCAATAGTCCAATGGGCTGTAATGGAAACAGTGAAGTACCGGTGGGGGTTCGGGCAGCCCCTGACGGGCTGACGGCAACGGACGTATTACCACCATCACACGCTTCAAATGTGGGAGCCTCCACAGTCATGCCCATGGTGGTTTTCATGGACTTGCGACTACGCATTCCTTGAACAAGCGACATTTGGCTTCTAGCGGCCTCCATTGGCGCCGCGAGGATAACTAAGGATACTAAAATGGTGTCTTTGTAGCTGAAAAGACTAGAATAAGAAGGTTTTAGGCTCCGCGTGCGCTCAATTTGTGAACGAAATAGAAAGAAAACAGAACTATGTAAGAAGGAAGCGGATTGCAGGCATCCGTTAAAACAATCATGTTTTCTACTTAGCTGCCTCTCGCGTGCACGGCGCGCCCAGGATCCAACCACCGTACGTTGCTTGACGGGCTCCCAAGGCAGGCGGACACGGCGACATCCAAATGGAGCCAAGCATCTCGCTGCACTAGTGGTATACTGGTAAACTTCCGGCAAACCGAACCTTAAGCGCGACCGGTGCCATAGCATGACTCCAGTTGAGTGCAACTGCTTGTGCGGTTTAAAATTAACTGCTAGGGTGCTTAACAATCTTCAGAAAATGTTTAAAGCGAGGCAGCTCCAGTATCCGAGTACGCTTGAGTCTTTTTTACTGAAATTGCCAATTGGCCGGACTTGGGCGGCAGTCCGTTGGAAAAGGCAACCTTGCCAAACCTACTACTATATGCATTTCTGCTTTTTTCCCAGAAGCCCCAAACGCCAGGCTCGCTCAGTGCAGGTCTCCAGGCGAGGTACGGCCGGACACAGCCACGAGCCACCCTGACATCGGCATCTGGCATCTACGAACCGTCACATATGCCGTATACACACAATCACATCAGCTCTACGAACCCACGCGCGAACGGTTACGTACTTCATAATACTGTGCCATTTACAACATCCTTCTGGCGGTTTCCCGCTCCTCCACCTTCCGCCTTTGCCTCCTCCTCAACGTATTCACAGCAAGTTTGGAAAGTCCCCCATGTTACAGACGACCTATTGTTCCAGCCCTGTAAGGTATCCCCCGTGTTCTAGCCCCGTGTCCCCCTCCCGGCATGCTCTCTGACCTTGTGTTCCATGAATACCCCCCCGTCAGTTTTCCTTATTTTTACCCCCCGTGTTCCCACCCTGTGCTTCCACGTGTTTTAAGCCCTCTCCTCCCGCACTGTGTCTGCCCTCACCGCCTAGCCGGTAATTAGTACTGAGCATGGTCTCGCCGGTTGCAAGGTTAAACTGTGGCACGTTGAGTCACGCTTGCCCGGTTAAAGTGTGCATGTTGAGTCACGCGGTTCTAGCCCCAAGAAGTGAAGCAAGCTTAGCTAGAATGCTAACACGTCAGCGGGTGCGGACCTGTTAGCCTTTAACAAAGCGAAGGTGGGCAATCAGTACGACAGTTAGTTACCCCGGTGACCCTCCTAGCTCCTACCTTGTAGCCTCACTTCCCACTTCTTGAAGCAAAAAGCAATTAGCAATCCTAGGCTTTCACAGCAACGGAATTGTGCTTTTCATACTTAGCAATTAAGTAATAAAGGCAGATCTACCAAATGGCGCCCAAGAAGGACGAGAAGGCCGCTGCGCCCGCTGATGCTTCTGAAGCCAAGACTGAGGTGAAGCCTAAGGCCGAGAAGGCGCCTAAGAAGGAGAAGAAGACGCCTGTCAAGAAGGCTGCTAAGGATGCTGAGGGCGATGAGGGGGCCGGAAAGGCCAAGAAGAAGGTCAAGGTTTCCAAGGCAGAGACCTATAAACTCTACATCTACAAGGTGCTGAAGCAAGTCCACCCGGATACCGGCATCAGCAGTAAGGCGATGTCCATCATGACTAGCCTTGTGAACGACCTCTTCGACCGGATTGCCACGGAGGCCAGCAAGCTGTCCAAGTACAACAAGAAGCCTACTATCACCTCAAGAGAAATCCAGACTGCCGTACGGCTGGTGCTCCCGGGCGAGCTGGCCAAGCACGCTGTGTCCGAGGGAACTAAGGCGGTCACCAAATTCACCTCCGCCTAATCTAGGAGGGCTTCTTATTATATCAAGACCGGTGTTTTTCAACACCGCTTCGTAATTTGGCATTTCGTTTGGCACCGTTTTGGGGCGTTTTACAGTTGTAACAAGCGAGGGGAATGTCTTCTTGGACTCCAAAAACAACACTGGAACGTTACGGTCTACGTCCGACTCACAACGTCCCGCGGGTCATGGTGACGCCACGCGCCCATAGCATCTTCAGACTGACATATGTGACAGCATGGCCGCCAGCGTCCAATGCACTGAACTGTAACCTATTCTCCGCTCCGGGTACCGTATTCTAGCGCTTAAACGTACTCCCGAACCCATCAAACAAGCCGCTGCCCCCACTGCATCTCCTATTCGCTTCGCATCACCGCCACACGGCCGGCAGTATCTCCAGCGCTACCTGCTGCAGCGAGGGCGCTTGCTGGCTGCTCCACAACACCCGCGGCTGCCCGCCCTCCTGCTCCTCCTGGGGGCTGCGAGCTAGCAGCTGCCAGGGACCCGGGTAGCAGCGGAACAGTGTGGCTGGGAGGCGGAGGCAGGACATTGCATGGGAAAGAGGGAGGGCGGGAGGGTCAAAGGGAGGAGCTGAAAGGGGCAAGGAATGGGGGGATAAGTGAGAAGCGCAACAAGGGATGGGAAGAGGAAAGGCATGTCAAGGGCTATGGTAAGGCAGGGCGTCGAGCGCTAGGAAAGGCGAGGAACAGATGATAGCGTGGGAACTGGGAAGAGGTAAACGCAGCGCAAGCTAGCATGCAAACCAGGGCAGCTCTCGTCTGGTTGGTGACAGCAAGTACGACACAGTGGAGCGGCTTATCGTACTTGTTGTACATGCTATGTGCTGAGAGGTGACACCCATGACCGTGTTTCGCATATCTTCAGCATCGGTTAGGAAAAGGAGATGCGAGGAGGAGACCCGCCGCGTGAGAAAAGGGGGTATGTAGGAGGAGTCACAACTGCAAACCCCAACGCTCAACCCCTCACCTGGCCTGCTGCCCTTAAAGTTGTGGATGTAGTAGGCGGTGGTGGTGAGCGGAAGCAGCTCTCGACCAAACTGGAGGGTATAGGGGTCAAGGTGCAACCGGGACGTACGGCATTTAGACAGCAAAAGTTGGTTTGGGTGGCGCGGGCTGCATGACATGCTGGTGTCTGGAGCGTGGGTTGCCCGGACATGCCGCCTTGCAATGCAGCGCAAGACGTGTAGTAGCATAGGGGTGACGGCGGGCGGGGTCGCCATGCATGTAGCGCAGCAACTCCTAGCCAATCGAGATGCACGGCATGCGCTATACGATGCAAGCGTGCAACAAAGCTTGTGGTGTACCTTGGCTATTTCCGGAAAGAAGATGGGTGGGTAGTAACCGCCTCTTACGCGATCCAACTCGCCTGTGGTGGGAGTATTTGGTAACTCATGCTGGTTAGTCATGCGACATTCCCAATATTTCCAAGCCAGGGGCACAGAATGGAATAGCAGAGACCAGCTTGGTATGAGGACAATGCCTGGGGCACTGTACACACAAAGGTGGCGAGAGAGTACCGGTATGCGGCATGCATTGAGAGCATGCCTGTGGTGTAGGCTTGACTCTCAAGCCTACAAAGTTGTGTACGGCATTGCGCAGTACCTAAAAGTGTTAACAACACGCAGTTGCCGGAGATCCTTAAAGCCTTTGTTGGGGCGAAAGGTGGAGGATGTTACTAGCTGTCGTGGTTGGCGAGTTGAGTTGTTTCGCGGGTGCGCCGAGACTTACCATTGAAGATGATGATGGGCATGTTGCGTTGTCGAGCCGCTTTGTCGTACAGTTCGTACACTGCGCTCAGCTCCTCTGCGTGTTGTACGACAAGTGAAAAAGGGCCAAAAGGCACCCAATAAGAAGCCCACGTTGTGATACACGTGTGATGATGCAAACGAAGGTAACGGTGTTCCATGCGTCGGTGAAAAGGACGCACAACATGGGAGCATCCCAAGTTCCCAACCGCAGGCGACGCACCTCGGGGGTTGAAGGAGGGGTAGGCGATCACCAACAAGTCGTCGGTGTTCTTCACAAGCTTGACCGGGTCAAACGCGGATCTAGGCAGCATGCGGTTAAAAGAGGGGGCCGAGGGTCGCTATCGTGATGCCAGCGGCCAGCAGCAGGTGAGGATAGACGGGGGGCGTTTAGTATTCAAGACGACACATGCTCCGGATATTAACACGGTAGCATGTGTCCTAACAAGGCAGTGCGGGGAGGCTTGCTTTATCGAGACGCACCTGTAAAAGCCAAACACAGCCCAAGCCTGATGGTTTGCACAGAGAAGGAAGTTAGGCATTGGTGAGAGAAATAAGCGGTGACGCCGGCGAGGTGGTAGTTGGCGGTTATTTATTAATTTACGGTTTTGCAGCACAGGCATGGAGGCGGGGTGCCAACGGATTTTGGGACATGGTTGAAGTTAAGGTAAAGCACAGCATACTCACCGCGTTCTGCTGAGTGAGGTAGCCTAGCTGAAACGCGGTGTCCCCGAACTGCGGCTCTAAGGACCGTCGGCCTGGGGAACAAACCGTACGAAGGGTGGGATCGGAGAAGCGTGTGAAGTTGTTGAAAGGCGGGCCTTGCTTATGGCGGGATGCCTTGACCACTCGCCAATAACAGCACACACCCTGGCATCGCGTCTCCCGCAAATCCTATCTGAACGCTTCCCCTTTTCTTCCTTCCACTCGGAGTTTTCCCATACGTTCCCCCACGTCATTCCAGCGCTGGTTCTAGTTACCGTCCCCGCCAGTTTCCTTAACACACTACCTTACCCAGTCGATGTAGCCCCGACGCGGCTCAGTTTACCTAAGCCCCCGCCCTTTCATTGGAATACCCATCTCCTCCAAACCCCACTTGCTGCCGGGTCTTCCGTCTGACCGCTGCGAGCCACGGCAAGCTCCACATTGTCCGGGAAGAATACCCGTGTGCTGGCGGCACGCGACCTGTGACCCATGGGTCGCGCCGATAACCGAGGGATTGGGGCAGTGAGAGCCCCCGGCCGGGACAGCGGTGCAGGGTGACGGCAAGGGTAAAGCAGTCCTACCTCAAGTTCAATGCCGATATGTCCGAGTGCTATACATACAACAAACCTGCCCACCTGCCCACTTGACCACCTGCCAAAGCGGGAGCCGTCCCTCACCTAAAGCCCCCCAGGAACTGCCGCAGAAAGCCCATCGACGCGTTCATCTCATTCTGACCATCGCCGTCACCTGATGGCATGACAAGAGATATGAGGTGCGCATTAGGACTGGCTGCAGAGAGGACTGCTGCGGGTTTGGGGAAGGTTGCACGAGCTCCCCCTTCCTGACCTGTTGCCTGGGCCCCCAAGTGACCCCGTTGGCAGCCGGTGACTAGACGGCCAAGCAACTAGCCTTAGCCACTGCACCCAGCGACGTGGACTCCTCCTAGAACTCATGTGCCAAGTATGCATGGCCACACACGCCTCATCCGCTGTGCGTTCATAAGCGCATGTCAAAAGCGGAACACGCGCCAGTTGTGTCATGCTAACCCAACGCTATCGGCGTCAGCGTACGCAGGGCATGCAACTCCTCGCAGTTCCTGTTCGCAGCAGCCATGCGCGTTGAGCTGTTGGTTTGTCCAAGACGCACCGATAAGCGCCTGCTACGAGCCGCTGTCTACTGCTAGCAGCCTCACCCGCCACAGAGTCCAGCGAGGTGGGTGGGAACTCCACCTCCACCAGGGGGGCGCCGTCGGCCAGGGCTGCTTTGACAGCCGCTTGGGCCTGGGGCGGATGAGGGATGCGTGTGTTTCAAGACACAAGATATAAGCATGGTGTTAAGGATGTTGGTACCCGTAACTCCTGGCATGGGGTGGCTCTCGTGGTTCGGGAAGGGAGTAGGAGTGGCGAGAACCCGATGGCCAAGGGGCGAGAGGAGAAGGTTGGGCGCGCGTGAGCGGTGTGTGGAAGCACGGAGGGCGCTAGGCAGGGGGTTTCAGGAAACCGGTGGGTTCAGGTAGAGAGAGGACGTCAGAGAGATGGCCGGCACGGCTGGCTCATTTGGCAGTAGGGTTTACGGGACGCCAGGGTGCCCGTGAAGGGGGGCCTTAGGGCAGAGTCAAGCTCTTGGCGATACCTGTCGCATAGCTTGGTCATAGCTTGAAGGAAAGGGTGCAAGCGCTTGCCGTGGCTGCTGCGGAGGAGACTGCAATCGCGGGGAAAGGTTATGTCAAAAAGGAGCACACGGAGCAGGTGACGCAGCCAGCCGGAAAAAGGTGGGATGACCGCAAGCACTGGTCAAGCTGTTGGAGAACAAAGGATGACAAGCTTTAACTTGCAAATGCACCTTGATAAGAACGTGAAGAGCGCAATGGGCTAAAAATGGGGTTCTCCTAGTCTGTGTAGCTACCTTGATAAAGAGCTCGCTTTGTTGCTGCTGTTGAGCCGCGACGATTTGAAGATTGCGATGCATCCTATAAGGCCGAGTGCAACGTGTGTTTCGAGCTAACAGATTTTGACTGCTTATATGCATTCTTTAGGAGGTGACTTGCTCGGTTCAGAGCAGTAAGGGCGTGAAGGATATAGTATCCTTGGTGCCTTGCGTGTGTTGCAAGTAAGCCTGCAGCCGGACCTGTCGGCATAACCTATGGGGTTAATCCGCACTCTGCAGTTAGCTTGATTTCTATCAATAATACATGATCTATTGGGCTGCTTGTTGCGCTACCAGGAGCCGGTGAAACAGAAGACAGTTGGACGAGCTTATCGCAAACGAGCCGGAGTGCCGGACATCGTTCTCAGGATTCTCAGCAGCCTGCCGAGGTACCAGTGGACACGTTATCCTTTCAGTGGTATGGTTGCCGTCCTCGAATATATGGCCGTCTTCGGTGGCTCGGTGTGATGCAAAGGAATTCAAGATGTTGTCGGGAAGAATGGAGAGCGCTACGCGTGTGGTACGTGCCACGAATGTGGCAGGGATGTCTGAGCACCACGCATTTGAGCATCATGTGCTGCGTTTCGCCGCCCCTTAGGTTTGCAAGCTTGCAACCCACGCCTTCAGGGTTTCGAGGGCCCCCCGTAACGGATTAGGCAATTGGCGGAGGCATGATTCCCCTTTCCCCTTTCCGGCGATAGATCTCCCCAAACTTAAAGCCAGGCTAGCAGGACAAACTTGAGAGGGCAGGTAAGCCAAGAAGCCCTGCCCACACCGCCTTCGCTCTACACAACATTACCTAAGCAGCTGCTTCTCCCCGGCTCCCCACACCGTTGGGCTGTGGTATGCCCCTGCGCCTGTGCCCGAGCTTGGAGGAATCCTCAACCGCAAGGGCATCATGTTTGACAAACCATAGCTACCCGGTGTACCATTACCGCAGCGTGCCGCACCAGTATTAGCATCCCCATATAGCCCCCGCACATTGAAGTCTCTTCGCATGACAGCCCCTTGGTGAACCCCAATAAAGTCGAGCCATTAAGAGCCACCCCGCTTAGGCGATGAGTTTGCAGCAAGAGGCCCCTTGGCGAGAGCTTAGCACATATCGATTATTACCTATCCCGAGTAGCACTGGTCTTAGGGAGCAGTGGCGATCACTGCACAAGGCCACCACATGTTGCTCCATTCACCTCTTACAGAAAGTACCTCTTCAAAGGCCTTAGGCATAATATGTTAAGGAATAACGAACGGTATAACAGTGTTCGAGTTTAGTATGTAAACCGGTTCAGCCAAGTACAAGCCATGTCGCTCCAGGAAGGGCTTGCTAATGGGCCGGACTTAGTGCGCGCTCTCCCTGCACGTTCTCTCTCTTGTCGAAAGGTGCGTTCATTGCTTTGAGAGCTAGCTACTTTGACGTTTAGTATTGATGTTCTATTGTTCTTTGTAAAACAGACACAAGGCGAGCTAAAATGGCGTCCAAACGCAAGGGTGGCACGTCCGGCAACAAGTTCCGCATGGCCCTGGGTCTCCCAGTGGCCGCGGTCATGAACTGCGCTGACAACACGGGCGCTAAGAACCTGTACGTCATCTCGGTCGTCGGCTGGGGCAGCAGGCTGAACCGCCTGCCCGCCGCCGCCTGCGGTGACATGGTCATGGCCTCGGTGAAGAAGGGCAAGCCCGATCTGCGCAAGAAGGGTGAGGAGCATTGGCAGCGGCGGACAACGGCTGCGGCGGCTGCAGTCTAGTATTATTGAGAGCTGGACTCTTTGCAAGATACATATCAGCAGTGTTGTCTTATCGCTGTTTGCATGCTTCTTTTTTCGTGCTAATTCTTTAACCCAGGGAGCGCCATAAATTGGCATCGGCGGCATGCACAAAATAACTTGCACGAGTTGTTCAATAGTAGAGAGAGCACTTATATGCTTTTGGCTTTCGCTCGCAGTGACCCCTGCGGTGGTCATCCGCCAGCGCAAGCCCTACCGCCGGAAGGAGGGTGTGTACATTTACTTCGAGGACAACGCCGGTGTCATCGTCAACCCCAAGGGTGAGATGAAGGGCTCTGCCATCACTGGCCCCGTCGCCAAGGAGTGCGCGGACCTGTGGCCGCGTATTGCCAGCGCTGCCAACTCGATCGTCTAAAGGTAAGCGCACCTCAGGTGTTCAATGCATGGTCTGTTCACGGGAACTCTTCGGTCTCTTTCCCTTCCCTGATTAGAGGTTCACCACACGTGCCTTGAAATCCTGTCAATAGGAAGCGAGGATTAGCCAGTAGAAACCCGTACTCGTAACCCTGGGCTTGTTCGCTCCTGACTCCCCTCCCTTCCCATCCCCTGCTGCTTACTTGCAGGTAGTTGCTACCCCGTGTAACGACTCGCCGTGCAGTTGCTGTCCCCTGTGTCTGTCCCGGCGCTCCATGCGCTTTGGGAACCATCATGAGCACAAAACACAAGCGGCAGCGCCGTACTTAGGTTGCATGTGGCAGCACGATAAGGGCGTGGTTCTTGTTTAACGGCAGCTCTGCGTCAGGCAGAACAGCATCGAAAAAGCAGCAGCCGAATTGCAGTACAGCAGTGAAGCAGCTTTCATAACCCAGAGGACACCCCGGGACCCGGGGCAGCTAACGGGGAGCAGCGTTGCGCCAGGTAAGTTTTAAGTGGTGGTGGGGACTTGGTACGTATAAGGCAACGCACGGCGGCCAATGTGGTGCTTATGTGCAAGTGTCCAGGGCACATGGTCCGGCTCGTTTCCCTTCAGTTGGAATGTACGCCTGAGCTTGGGGGTACCGTATATGCCGTATGCTCTTGTTGGATGCTGTTAGGGCTGTGCTGGCTAGCTGCTAGCGGTTGGGCGTTACTGGGATGCTGTGCCGCTTGTTAGGGTGCCCTTCCCTTGCTCTCCGTCTGTTGTCGTCCGGGTTACCGGCGAGCACTAGTTAACGACGGGTACGTGAGGGAGGACGTGGTCCATCCGTCAAGATTGCAGCACATCAAGTCACACCTGGGAGTTGTTGCATGGCCGGTGATGAGACAATATACAATATGGCTTAATCTTTGCTTACCCTTTCTGGGAATGCTGAGTCATGTATGCGTCTAGAGGCCAGTATTATCAGGTTGCATTACAGGTCATGGCTCTGGGGTTCCGTTGCAACAGATGTCGCCCGATGATGAGACGTAATACAATATGGCTTAATCTTTGCTTACCCTTACGGGGGATGCTGAGACACGTATGCGTCTGAGGGCCCGAGACACGTTGGCACAGTTACGCATGTTTGGCATGTGCATGCGAGGGTGGGATTTCCGCGTGTGTGTTGTCCTGGTGCAGCAAGGGGTTTAAGTGTTGTCGTTGTGAGTGGTGCTGAGTATGGGGTGAGGAAAAGTCGTCGACAGCTTATCAGCGTCATTTTTGTGTACAACCGCGCAGCCTTCGGCATCACAACCTGTCAGCGATCAGACTTCAGCACGACCTCCAAACCCGAAGCGCCGCGCGAAGTGTAATCCGCAAGCACGCATGCCCTTTCCTAAGAGCGTGCAGATATATACATGGGCATCAAGGACACTCCACCCCATAGGGTAAATGCGGGATAGCCATCGGTAGCATGAAATCCAGTACCGGTAACCTCCTCTCGACCAGGTTCACTGTTTCCGTCTAGCTGAGTGAATGGAGTGTAAAACCGGTCAGCACTACTCACAATGGTTGGCTAGATTCTGTATGATCATCAGAGTATTCAGAACGCTGTCTGCCAGCACATTTCGCCACTCCTACCATAGCCGTAATGCATACGCCGTCATTGCATAACACTCAGTGGACATACGTATAACATGGAATGCTTCCGATGATAGAGACCTTATGACTTACCGACTTGAATCGTTCTGACTCTGACCCTGTAGTACTTGCATACGATCCGTGAAAAGCATGCTTTGTTTGTGTCGTACACTTCACGAAGCATGCCCAGCACGAAGCATGGCGGGGAACTGGCATCTGCCCTGAGCATTGCTTGTCTGATCTGTGGCTTGCATATTTATAGATGAGTCGTTCACTACTTAGCGGCACACCAACAACTAGAAGAAGCGTATTTCGGAGCTCCTATGCACAGAGTCTCGCTGCTGTTTCTGGCCGTTCAGCTTGATGCATATTTGTCCTACCAAGCTTTTAACTAGAACCGTTGGTGTAGTAACAATTCTGGGCTCTTTAAGCAGTATCAGAATCCATAGCCATGCCGCGATGGAAGCTCATCCCTATCAGCAACCTCGCTGCTGAGCTGACTTCGGACATCCATCTGACTGGTTCCCTGCGGATTGGTCGAAATGTTACGGGGCAGGATGCCTTGACTCTACCCGCTGCGCTAACGCAATTTTCGGGTGTGCATTGCCGCGTCTACCCTGACCTCTCTACGGTGAGCGAGCTGCCGCAAATAGCACCGCTACTGGCGGCGCGGTGCCTGCCCCTGTTGATGCTACTATGTCTTCTCCGTCCTACCTAGAGCCATCCATGTTGGTTTGCAGTAAGTTGGGCAAACCTTTTTCTTTCCATTTCTATTTTCTTTGCCACACATAGGGCACCGTGATATGGCTTATCGAGGACACATCGACGAACGGCACCTTTCTAGACGGGGAACGGATCGGCCGCAACACCTCGGCGCGGCTTGTGGAGGGAACCAGACTGCGGCTTAGCTCCCCTCCGCAGGACGTGATAGAGTAAGTCAGCATGTGTGCGTATCGTGTGTATTGTAGAATGGTTCTGGGGCATGACCTGGGGTTGGAAAAGCAAACTGCCAGGTGCGTACGGAGGATTAAGGCACGATCGGGCCACAAGGAGTTGAGGACCTGAACACCTAGGGCCTGAGTGTATTCGAACCACCGGTATTCTTAGCGACCCATCGCATGTAACCGGAATCCTTACATGATACTGAACAGTCTAGCTGATCAGCAGTCATCAGTCACCGACCAATGCAGCAGTGAATTTGATCTGGGTCAAGCGGGGAAGTGCCTTACCTGCTGCTCTCTCCCGGTTTAACGATTGTCCTGTAGGTTTGACTTTGTCCGAGACGATGGGGACGATGAGAGAGGTGACAACTACAGCCACTACAGCCGGCCGCAACCCCAACACAACAATGCTCAACAACAGCAGCAGCTGCTGCAGCAGCAATTGCAACTGCAACAACAACAGCAATACCATGCGTTGCAACAGCAGCAATACGGCGGCAATACGACATCACATCGCATGGGGATATCCTCGCATGCAGGTGTTGGTGCCACTGCTAGTGGAAGGGCCCCACAACAACAACAACAACAGCAGCAACAGCAACAGCACACCGTGTACGGCATAACTAGCGGTGGCGGCGGCGCTGCGGGTGTTGGTGTTGGCGGCGGCGTGGGAAGTGGGCCACTACAGGGGGATGGCGGCATGAGCCTCGGGAATGGCGCTGCCGCCATTGGGAACACCGCTCAACCGCAGGCTAACAGCAACAAGCGAAAGGTGAGGACTTGGGCTACTGCGTTTCAACATGATTGGCAACCAAAGAGGCGGTGTTGGGGCCGGCGCTGAAACCGCCGTTTGAGGTCGACGCCTTCGTGGCTTAGCCTTGGTCCAGTTCCAAGTCCAGCTGCTGCCTTTCCCAGCTTCCTCAACTCGCCTGTCCTCTTGGGATTGCTGCTGTGAAGCGTGTCCCGACCGGCTTCCAGGGCTTACGCTCATCTCTCTTCAGCTCTCCTCCCATTCGTCTTCCTCTCCCTTTCCCCCGCAGGCCAACGAGCTCCATGGCGCAGACGGCCCGGACGACATGCCCTCAGCCAACCCCACACCCTCCGCCGCAGCCGCCCGGAACGTCATGCGCCGCATGGTAGCCAACAATAACGCCGCCGGCGGCGCAGCTGGTGGCGGCGGCGGAGTAACTATGTCGTACGGCATGCCGCCGATGCCGGGCATGCAGGTCGGGGGCACCGCCGCCGCCGCCGCTGCCGCGGCAGCAGCAGCAGCGGCTGGGGCGGGCATGGGGACGCGTCCCTCGCCAACCACGAGTTTCTACCCTGGAGGCATGACAGCGGCGGCGCTTGGCGGAGGTGGAGGCGGCGGCGGTGGCGCTGGCGGCGGCGGCGGTAGCGGCTCTGCGGAGCATGTGATGCACCTGCAGGCGCAGCTGCGGGCGGAGAAGAGCGATAAGGAGGTGAGCGTGCTTGGGGTTCCTTGGGGAACTCGCTTACTGCTTGTGTCCAGCAGTCGTTGTTCTTGTCCCTGTTGTATCAAACCAACGGATTGTGCCTTTGTCTCCTGTCCCTCCTTCTTTTTCCTTACAGTCCCAGAAGCGGCAGCTGGAGCAGCTGCGTCGCGAGTACGAGGACGCGGCTCGCAGCCTGGCAGCGCTGCGGGAGGAGCACGCGAGGCTCCTGGAGCGGGGAGCGCAGGAGAAGCAAACGGTGCGAGGAGGCAGGGAAGGGCAGGGAGGCGGAGGCGGAGGAAGAGGGGACCCACATCCCAGATAAACCTCTTTCCATCGCCGGCCCCTCCAGTCTCTCCCGGCTCCCCCAGTGGGGCACAGGCACCTTGCTCTTACCGATATTCCATGTCCGAACCCTCGTTCCCCTCCGACCCAACAGTGGTCCAGTCGCGAGGAGAGCTTGCGCAGCATGCTGGCTGCCGCCGAATCGCGCGCGGAGTTGCTGTCCCGCCAGGCGGACCAGGCGGCGGAGCGGGGCCGGGGGGAGCTGGCGGAGGCGGAGGCGGCCAGGAGGGCGGCGGAGAGGGAGGCGGCGGAGGCAAAGGTGCGCGCTGTTTGGGTATGAAGGTATGAACCCTAGGAAGGGCTGGCTGACGAAGAGGTTACGTTGACTGTTCTCTATGACCTGCCGCCCTCCTTCAGCGCATGGTTATTCTCTTCCTCCCTCTCTGGACCCCTCTCTCTTCCTCCCCGCCCCCGCCCCACCAGGCCCAGCTGTCCAGCGCTCGTGAGGAGGTGGAGCGGCTGGCGGCGGAGGTGCGGGGCGAGCGCAGCGAGGCGGCGGCTCAGCGGGCGGCGGCGGCGGCGGCGCGGCGGGAGGTGGAGGCGGTGCGGGAGACGCTGGCGGCGGAGCAGCGGGAGAGGAAGGCGGAGCAGGTGGGGGAGGGTGGAGCAGCGGGCTTGGGAAGGAGGAAGAGGAGGACAACTCCCCTTGGGTACGGGTTAGCACTGCTCTACAGTGTTATCATATTCATGTTGTACCCCTTGTCCTCCCTGCGCTTCCCCTTTACCCGTTCCCCGCTTCTCATCCTCCTCCCCCCTCCTCCTGATTCTGTTTCCAAATGAACCCCCTCCTCCTCCGCTCTCCCAGGACCGCGCCGACCGCCTGGCGGCTCAAGTGGAGGTGGAGAAGACCTCCGCGGCGGCTGCTAGGAGGCTGGCAGAGCAGCAGCAGGCGGAGGTGCGCGCGGCTCGGAGCCAGGCGGAAGACGAACAGCGCGGGCGGAGAGGTGCGTAGGGGGCCCGGGGCTGATGCCGTTGCCTGTTCCTCTCCGTTGCTTGCTCTTGGTGTGCATGTCAATGCCCCTTTTTTGCAGTCCTAAACCTTAAACCACACACCCGCAACCTGTGCACTTCCACTGTATAAACCCATCCACCTCACCCTCCTCCTCCGTCCTCTCCTTCTCCACCTCCCCGCAGCGGCCGGCGAGGAGGTGCTCTGCCTGCGCAGCCAGCTGGAGGACGCCCGGCGGCAGCTCTCCGAGTCCCACGAGCGCCTCTCCGCCCTGCAGGACGAGCTGTCCGCCCGGCAGCACCGGCTGTTGGGGCTGTCCAAGACGCAGGCGCATGCTGAGCAGCTGGTGGGGGGGCTGCAGCAGGCGGTGGCGGCGCTGGCGCACACGCATGCAAGCCTGGGACGGCAGTACGCGGAGGTGCTTTCGGTCGTTGCGACGACGGATGAGGGATTGGTGGCGGGTGCGGGTGGTGGTGGGGGTGGGGGTGCGCATCAAGAGGGTGGTGAGGGAGGTCAGCAGCAACAGCAGCAGCAGCAGATGTTGGGGTTGGCGGGACTGGGGATGCAGACGGAATCCACGTGTGGGGATGAGCACACCGGAGTGTTGGGGCTGGCAGCGAATGGAGGAGGAGTTGGAGGCTCAACAGCGGCTGCAGGGGCGGGGTTCCAGCAGTTTTCGTTGCATGGCGGCCGGCCGCAGCAGCAGCAGCAGCTGCAGCAGGCATCGCAGCTGGGGGCTGGCGGCGGTGGAGGCGGCGGTTTGACAGCGGGCTCGCTGGGTGGTGGTCAGATGGCGACGTTGCAGCTGCAACACCCGTCATCGTTGACGCCTTTTCAGTTCTCGGGTTCTGGAGCCGCAGCGGGTGGCGACGGCGGCAGCGGAGGAGGAGTCGGCGGCGGCGGCGGTGTTGGCTTTGGTAGCGTGGAGCCGAACGGAGCGATGCTGCTGACACCCGTAGCAGGTCTGGGGGCTGGAGCGGCAACTGTTGCGGCCACTCCCAACCTGACGCAACAGCTGCAGATGCTGTCGCAACAACAACAGCAGCAACAACATCGCTACTTGCAACAAGCCCTGCAGCAGCAACAACAAGCTGCTTCGGGTAGAGCTGCCCTGGCTTGCATGGTTCCGTCTTCCCAGCAGCAGCTGGCGGTAGCGTCGCTGGGTAGCGGAGGCGTCGGCATTAACGGCAACGGTGGGGGTTTCCAGACCGTTGCATGCACTCCAGCCGTACGGCAGCAGCCGTCGGGAGGTGTTGCTGCTGCTACTGCCGGCGGCGGCAACGGCGGGGCCATTATAGAGGCCATGGGGGGTATCCTGGGCGCAGGCGGCGGAACTCAACCGGACATGGGTGGAGGAGGAGGCTTCCTAACCCCGCACCTGCCGCACTTACCGCTACCTGCGAGCGAGCCGCAGAATCAGCAACAAGAGGATGGGGAGCTCATGTTTGTTTCTCCACGGCAGCAACAGCTAGAGCAACAGCTGGCGGCTAGTCAGCGGCAGCTGCAGCAATCTCAACTGCAATCCCAGGTCCTACAATCGCAGCTGCAAGAGCAACTACATTATCAAAAGCAGGTACAGCAGCTAGCATCGCATGAGATGCTGCGTGCAGCAACGGCAGCGGCAGGTATTGAGGCGGCTCGTACGCTCAATGGCGGCGGCGACGGCGGTGGGGCTGACGGCGACGGTGGCGGCGGCGGCGGCGGTGGCAACGACGGGGCCACGATGTCAGGTGCCTCTACAAGTCAGCACACCACCCCCGCTGCTGCCGTCGGCGCCAGACGCAGCGGTGGTGTGACCGAGGAACGTCAAGACGAAAACTTGGGGGCTGCTGCGGAGGAGGAAGCCGAGGAGGAGGGTGACGGTTACACCAGCCGCATTCTTGATAAGAGTGGCGGCGGCGGTGTTAGCGGCGGTGGTGGTGGTGGTGGTTTGGAGGCGGCCCGCATTGGGACAGTGGCTATGGACGTGGATGCGGGGCCCAATGCCTTGACTGGGACGCCGCAGCGGAGGCAGCGGTCGAGTGTCCTGTTGTCGCCTTCGCAACAACAACAACAACAACAACAACAACAGCTCGGGTTGCAGCTAAGGAACTTGGTTGCCACTGCTGACGGCGGCGGTGGAGGCGGTCTTTCCGCCCGTAGCTCCTCGCAACCGCCGGCGGCTGCGGCAGCAGCGCCGCTGGATGGCGCCTTTGCCGGCGGCGGCGGCGGCGGCGCGGTCGTTGACGTTAAGACCGCCGTCATCGGCGTCACGGTTCCGAGTACGGCAGCAGCAGCCGCCACGGCAGCAGCAGTAGCAGGAGGCGGACCCTGGGGAAAGCTGTTCAGCCGGCACCTGACACCCACCAAACAGCCACCAATGGCGGCAGCGGCGCCGCCGCCGGCGCCGGCTGCGGTGGACCCTGACGCCGCCGTCACGCCCGCCAGCAGGCCGCGACCCAGTCGTGACGGCGGCATTCCGGGCAGCGGAGGCTCCGCGACGATGAGCGCGGATAACGACAACACTGGAGGAAGCGGGGCGCAGCGGCGGCGGCAGCAGCAACAACAGCGGGAGATGGGAAGTGGGGGTGGCAGTGGAGCCGCCGGCGGCGGCGGCAGTCGTGGGCTTGGTCGTGCGCTCTACGATAACGACGGCGGCAACGGCGATGGCGGCGTCGACGTCGCCCCACAGTCGCAGGATTTTGAACGTGGCGGAGGCGGCAGCCAACAACAACTTCTGCCGCAGTTACGGGGCTTCATGGAGGGTCAGCGGGACAGCCTCGCGCTCTCGCCGCCGTTGTACGGCGGTACTGCTGCTCTGGGAGCCACCACCGCCGCTGCCGATAATGGTGGCGGCGGCGCTGGCGGCGACGACTTTCCGACGACTGCGTTGCTGCCCCCGCCAGGATCCGAGGATGCAGCGGGCGGCGAGGGCGGTCAGGATACGGGGCCGGCTGCGGGTGTCGGCCAAGATGCGGCTGGCGCTGCTGCTGCCGATGGTGTTGATGAAGATATGGACCTTATGGACTGAAGACGTGCGGGTCAAAGGCAGCAATCGAGTTGCATACTAAATGTGTGTAATAGGAGGGAGGTGGTGGAGGTTGAAAGGAGGGTGGTGGTGTGCGAATGCTGTGTGAGAATTCCTTGGGACAGTTCCCTGGGGGTTGCGTGCTGCGGGTGCACGCTATCTGCATGTTTTTGCGAAGATTAAGATTGTTAGCGTGGCGCAGAGGTACAATGCATGGGTATGACGATTACAGATATGGCCATCAGGCAGCGAAGAATGCTGGTGTAAATTGTGATGATGCAAGACAAGGAAAGTAATACAAAGCATGCAAGAAGTACCCGGAGAAGGGGCATTGGAGCACAGCGGCCTCAGAAACACCGCCGTGTAGATGCCCCATAAGAAAGGTTAGCCAGTTGCGCAAGACGCTCGTTTACCTGATAACACATTGCTCTCTAAACACCGTACATCGCCCGTAGTTAGTTACTAGAACCCAATTAAGTACGCCTCACGTGTATGTGCACAAACAGCTCAGCAGGCATGTCGTGTCCTAACCATGCGTATGCGAAATCATGGTCCGTGGTTTCAGAGCAGGTCGGTTGGTTGCTTGCATCGCCCAAGCATGTCCAACTCGTAGGCACTTGCAGTTATCTTTATGTTTCTTTTTATACCAGCGGTTGAGTGATACCAGTGGTTGAGTTGCCGCGTTCGTGTATCTGTTCGTTGTTGCTTCCCTGGAGCGACAGATCTTGTGCCGCAGTCTTTGCCTTCGGATTGCGCATACCCGCTTTGCCCATGCCATTGTTTTGCTCATTTCAGTCCTGGGGCTTGACAGGCAAATGATTTGGTCACTGATGTACAACAGCAACGACAGACATTCCATACCGGTATTGCACCCCCAATGCTTGTTATGTGCTGAATAGAGGACGTTGAGGCCATGCATTCCATAAGCAACCTGAACCCCAAGCCATCATGCTCCTCTGTCACGCCCGCCTCCGTCACCTCCACTCGATCAAGACTCAATGGTATGGTTTGTGTCACCTGAAGCATGCGAAAAAAAGCCCTTATTCAGTAACACCGTTGCGCCAAGATGCAAGAATCGCTGCCCAGACATGAAGAAGACGCTATGTCCACATCCTTTTCCTGCGCGCTTTTGACTCGAATGGCTAAGACGTTAGCCCACCGCGCGCAGAATGCCCTAACTGAGCATCTTATCAAGCTACCTAACCCACTCTTAATTCACTGACATCGTGCGGCAACGAAGCAGCTTAGCTTGTTGGGGCATCCTCACCCCATGCGCCGCCTTTCCCGCCTCGCTCCTGTAATACCTTCTACCAACAAGACCGAGCAGCACACCCTACCCCAAGCACCCTGCATGTGTTCACTACCCCAACCCTGCCGTACTCTCAGAGTGGCTAATCCGCCCGACCGTCCGCACCATAAAATATACCGGTAGACTGGAGACGGTCGGTATCACGCGCACGGTCGGTACTCCAACCTCCTTCAGTACGACCACCATAATCAGCGCATGTGTAGAACCCCTCATATACTCCCAAGACACATGGCAGCACACTGCAATAAAGCTCCCCGCGTTGGGAGCGACAGCTTAAAATATAACAAGCATACTTAACAGGACTCCCTAAAAGGGGTATTAAAGAGGATAAATCATCCAGTAATCAGTACATAGATCGCCGCCTCAGCAGCCTCGTTTGCTCGCACCATCCTTTGGACAACAGCCGCACATAGATTCCTAACCCGCGCACGTCCACATGCACGTCAGACGCATACTCATTAGTAAGTCTCTGCAAATACACACGCGCGCATCACTGTCGGTTGTGCATGCGGCCCAAGTCAACGGTCTACTCACGCCCTATCAAGCTATCATTACACCTCTGCTGCACACACGCTCTTAACACACGTCACGACACTCGCGGCCACAACAAGCACCAACTAGGCACATCAGTGCTACAATGACAGCACGCAAGTCTTTCGAATATCATTAAGAATAAGACAGCTCACGCCCGGTCATCAATCCTTTTGCGCCGGAAAAGATGGGTGCCGACGGCACATGCATGCCGACACCCCCAAGACAGCTCACAACAACACCAACCGCCACCACTTCAATCCAGTTCATCACTCGCATAACCGACCCTCGTGCGCACCACTCATTACTAACCCTCCCCCGCATACACCCATGTGACCTCCCCCATAACTACCCAGATGCAGAGCTTCACCTGCTGCAGCAGCACCGACTCCCCAACCGACCCCCGGGTCCATTCCTGCTCAACACATGCGAACCCCCCAAGTAGGTACCGCGTGCCGCTGCAGCAGCTTCTTGACGGTGTGTTGTTGCCGCTACTGCTGCTGCCGCAACGGTTTTCGCCAATCCACCAGCAGCAGCTCATAGGGGCCCGCACTGGTTAAGAGCTCATGCTAGCTGTCAGCTGGAGCCGCCCCGCCAAACACCTGCGCCCACTCCTGCCGCTGGCTGTAGAGGTAGGAGAGGTAGGGGTAGACGCAGTTGTAGGCCGTGAAGCAGAAGATGTGCATCAGGTTGTGGGAGAAACCCTGGAGGGGACAGAGAAGAGAGGCGAGACATGAGGAATTACACGTGGGGTTGTAAGCGGGCCGGGAAAAGGAGGAGGATGGCAGACATATGCGATGGCCGTACACCTTTTACCAGACCCCAACCCAACCCCTTCAACATTCCCTGTGGAAGCGCCCCGGCCCAGCTGAACCCTGCCCAGCCCTTGCCCAGCCCCTCACCGCCAAATCGAAGGCCCCCGGGAAGTGCCGCTGCGGCCAGTGGGTGCCGTACACGAGCGCCCCACTCAGGTGGCAGCCCAGCACCACCAGCGCGATACCCAACTCGGGCCAGGTCTTGCCCTGGAAGGAAGGAAGGAAGGGGTGGATGGGAAGGTGGGAAGTGGAGAAGGGCGAGGGGGTGAGAGGACAGGACATGGGGAACTACAAGCTGGGATGTAGGTGGGACGTGGGAGGAGGAGAGGTTTCAGGTGCATGCTGAGGTTGAGCTGAAGGTCAAGGCACCTGTGCTAGTTCAGCACAGGCAGAGGTAGACACACGGCCCGTTTTCTTAACACACGCATGCTCCCGCTCCCACCTGCAGCAGTGCCGCTGCCACTCCCCGCAGCACCAGGGGCACGTAGTAGCCCATGCAGGTGAGTCCGATAAGCCCCAGAATGCGAGCGCGATCCAGCTGCTGCTTGGGTTGTAGCGCAGCCACGTGCCGTATACCCAGGGCTGCCGTACAGCCCACCAGCGCCGTCCAAATGAGGGAGAAGGTCAGGCCGAAGGTGAAGTAGGAAAGGGCGTAGGTGGCGCAGGTGTTGAGCACGAGGATGAAGGTGAGGTCCAGCTTGCGCCATCGATTGGCGATGGTAGGAGACTGCGGAGGGCGGTAAAGAGGAGTAATCGTAGATGGGGGGAAGGGATAGGTGTTCGGGGAGAGCCTATCCATGTGAGCCTGGATGGAGACGCGACAGGACAGCTGACATATTGTCATGCCCTCCAACTGCGCAATGGAGTGCTTACCATGCACATGAAAGTGTGGTATCCGCATGAAAGCGGGCCGTGCAGAGTTTGCCCTATCCATGCTGCAAGGAAGGGAGAGAAGTCCAGCCAGCTGCATCGCAAATGCGATACCGTGTCCAGAAAGAGAACGAAGCCCATTATCACTGATAGGAGTGTTGTCCAAGCGTTGACTGTTTCATTGTGGAGGCTGAAAAGGCTCAGCAAGCATTGCGTGTAGCTTCCACCACGGCGATAACCGTATTTCAAGTATGGAAATCGCTGCCATGGTTCAACCTGGTCAGAGGTAAGGCCAATCGCCAACGTAGATGAGGTCGAGGCTTCGCTTTTTGGGGGGCCGTCAACATCACTGTCATCAACGCTTCCCGAGAACGAGTGGTTAGACCATTTCCTTCGCGGGCTAAAAGCCCGAAGCTTTGAATGTTCATTACTGCATGTTGGTTCGCTATCGCGCCTGATTGCGCGAGCATCAGCTGTGATGGATACCATTCTAGCTGCGAATCTGCGCTTGACAGCAAGTCATGACTTTAGGATAAGCTTTACCACATGACATAATTAGTCAGCGCGCGGCGAAGAAAAACTGGATTGGATTCTTTGCTAATAGCCGTACGGCCATCTAGAACAAGATACAAGAAGGTTTTTGCTTTCCTACAACCATGAGACGTTTTGACTCCCCTGTAATAATTGCCAACTACAGCCCCCTAGACATAACAGATTCGCCCACTCTGTGTTTTTCTGTGAGCTCAGAATCTCTCATTTACTTTGCTGTCGGCCCTGTCGCTCTTGACCGCCGCAGCAGAATGGCGCGAAAGGATTCGTCCTTGGCAGGGAATGAAAAAACGATGTACTCACAAGCATGGGATCGCCTAAAAGCGGTAAACAGCCAACCGTATTTTGAAAGCTTGGATACCGTTAGTCCCTACCGCTAAGCGCGTTTCTACATGTTGTCAAGTCGATATCGCCCATGGGTCACGATATCGCCCATGGGTCAAAACCAGACTGTAAGATTCGCATGCGGCTTAGTTACCAAACCACTGCGTGCGACAGATCATCATCGTACCAGTTTGCACTTTCCTCTTAACAGCAGTGCGTTGGGCTAGATCGAAGACTCCTTCAGTACACGCGTGCAGGAAGGCAGTAGTACGACAGACATGGCTTACAGTGTTGTTACACAACCACCCTCTCCCTCGGGACGCCGATGCCAATAGACGATGACATCGTTTATTGTTAAGGTTTCTCGGGTCGCAACAAGCCAGAGGTTCACAATCAGGGATAAGTGGACTGGAGAACCGCGCCAACAAGGCCTGGCCCACTCCCATCCCTGGAACACAAAACCCCCACAATATCGCCCCCCTCAAAGTCGCGGCCCAGCTTCCCAACTCCCGGCCAACTGCATGCATGCTCGAGATGAAACCCCGGCCATGAAAGGTCGTGGACGTCTGTCTAGGCATGGCACTAGCGCACTGGGCTACGCAACGAACCAACCACTCGTACAGTCCTACTTCAATTGCGACAAGTGCGAACTCTACAACAATCACGTTGTTAAAGGTCAAGTAAGCCTTCAGGGCAAATGCAGTACGACAGGAAAGCCAGCGGCAAACATGTGCCAAACCGGCAACCATGCCAGACAACCCTCATCCTTTCGGCTAGACGGCACCTACCCACACATACAGAAACGCGCTTTCTGGGTTTCCAACCACCAACGTAAAGAGTAGGGCACCCTGCGCAGTACATACTGGAACCAACCAAAATACCGTAGTTTGTACGTATTTCCGAACTTCCGAACAAGGTACAACTAACAGAGGGGTGGGGAGGCAAAACAAATTGCAGCACGGGTGCTCTTTCGGCCCCTGTGAGGGGGTCCGCCGAGCCGAGACATACAAGGATGATTCATGCATTCATGCCACGGCGCGGGCAGATGTCTGGCGTGGGCAGTGTGACAGCGATTGTCGATTGAGCGCTACTACCTAAACTGGTGCGCGCTTGGGTGCGAGACGTGGGACCGATACAAACCATCCTCCAGGTAACGCCCATCCGCGCCGCCACGTCCCGGCTTACTTTTGCAGACATTACCAACAGTGGCGGCGCTCCCAACCAAACCAGGCCAGAGCAGAGGTTGTGTGGTCCTTGGATCTCATCCTCTGCATATCTCCCTCCAACTTTTCAACCCTTGAAACGTTAAGACAACTTCTCAACCCTTGAAGTGTTAAGACTCCAGCGGTACGCATGTTGATCCATGATCAGCAGGCCAACAAACACTTCGTACATCTATCCACCTACGCATTTGCGGCGCATGGACGACCCATGGGTCAGCAGTTCGCAAACCAGCAAAGACGCTAGCCTACACATGCGCCGTTAATCCCGAACGCTTAATTGCTAACCATTTTTATTGTATTTAAACCAGTTTTAAACCCAACGTTTTTAAAAGTAAAGCCAACTGCCAACCAGTAACGTGGCAAGACGTCTTTGTTAATTTTTCATAACCCCTTGTGGGCCTGGACATACGCCTGCCAATCCCCAAGCAAGCTTACCCAGGAAAGAACCGAAACCATAAGATCCACCAACTCGCAAGCAACGAACAACCCCAACAAGCAACCCGCCACACGCTCTGCTTCAATCTTGCGTTGCGTCCTACGCAGGCAGGGGACTGTTCGCCCGTGAATCCATATAACTCCCATTGCCACCCTTCCCGCCCCTACCGTCGCCATTGCCGCGCCCAAACGGATTGCTGTCGCCACCGCCGCCGCTGTCCCAACGTGCCGAAGCAGCCGAGCGACGGCGTCCGGCGCTCCCCAGCCACGTCAGCAGCATGGCGGCCCCCGCAAATGCGCCGTACCAACCGCCAAGCACAGCAACATCGCGCAGAGCTGCGTCGGGCGAGAGGCCGATAGCCGACATGAAGGTCTCTCCTTGCACGTCGTCGACACGCGCGTAGCCGGCAACCTGAGAGGGAAGGGGCGAAGGAGCACATGAAGAAGCTTATGAAGAAGCACATTTGCAGCGGATTGATAACGCAGATGCATCATGGCGGCAGCTGGCCAGTGCCATTTTTCTCCACTTCACTTCACTTTCCATTCCGCCGTCGACCGCCTCTGTTTTCGTTTCCGCCTGCAGGTCAGTTTACAGTAACAGAGTGGTCCCTACACCCCACCGCCCGCACTCACATCGAACGTAAAGTGCGTCCCCTTGACCTGGTTGGCGAACAGCGCTTCGAAGGCGTACGACAGCGGACTGGCCCACCTCAGCCAGCCCAGCGCTGCCGGCATGGAGTGGGGGTTGACCAGGTAGCCGCCCACCAGCACCCACAGCAGCAGCAGCAGGTTCATCAGCAGCGTCACGGTGGCTGCGGGTGGGGGAGGAGGAGGGGAGGAGGGAGAGAGGGGGAGGAGAGGGAAGAGCAAACAACTAACTGACCGTGTGATAAGGCGTCATGACTCATGAGACGTCGTGAGGGGCGGAAATCAAGGCGTGAAAGGGTAATGTCGGAGGGATAGGGACATAGCGTATACACCAGCAGAACAGCCAAGTGGCAGCAGCCACAGCAGCAAGCCAGCAACACCAGCAGCACCAGTACGCGGGCTGTGCACGGCTCGCCAGCATGCCACACCCTCCTCCTGCCGTCACGCGACTCACATCCAGTCCGCGGCCCCCTTCCCTTACCCCCCCTCGCTCTCCCAGCAGCTGCGCTCTCTTCTTCTCTCCCCCGCTCTCTCTCCTTCTCCCCCTCTCTCCCCCCCCCACGCACCTGCACTCGGCGCCACCGCCGCCACGCACAGCGCCAGCGCACCGCAGCAGGAGGCGAAGGAGGCCAGCACCAGCAGGAACGCCGCCACTCGGCCCGCCCCGCCCGTCAGACCCACCAGAGGGTAGAGGCAGGCGGTGTAGAGGGCGGCGGGCAGGGCGCGGAGCAGCAGAGCGTCCAGGACCTGCGGGAGGCGGAGGGGGAGTGGGAGAGGGAGCGGGAGTGGCAGTGGGAACGGTAGAGGGAGATCCATGCAAGGATACGGCAGACATGCACCGCGGCTTACTCCATCTTCACGCATGGAGAGATCTACCGGTAAGTTACAAACTACCCTTGAACTGCCGTACAACGCACGCACCAGCCTGGGTAGCAGATACGCCCCGGTGCCGTAGTAGTGCCCCGCCACCTCCCGGGCTACAAGCGACCGCTCGCGCATCAGACCGTCCACGGAGGTGAGGGAGGTGAAGCCGAACAGACACAGGCTGAAGAAGATGGCGCCTGAGGGGGGAGGGGGCGGGAAGGGCGGGGAAGTGGGAGGGGTGGCTTGCATGGCAGGGGCTTGCATGGGAGGGGCTTGCATGGGAGGGGCTTGCATGGGAGGGGCTTGCATGGGAGGGGCTTGCATGGCAGGGGCTTGCATGGCAGGGGCTTGCATGGGAGGGGCTTGCCTTTGAGGGGCTTGTATGGGAGGGGCTTGCATGGGAGGGGCTTGCATTGGAGGGGCTTGTATGGGAGGGGCTTGCATGGCAGGGGCTTGCATTGGAGGGGCTTGCATGGGAGGGGCTTGCATGGCAGGGGCTTGCATGGGAGGGGCTTGCATGGCAGGGGCTTGCATGGCAGGGGCTTGCATTGGAGGGGCTTGTATGGGAGGGGCTTGCATGGCAGGGGCTTGCATTGGAGGGGCTTGTATGGGAGGGGCTTGCATGGCAGGGGCTTGCATGGGAGGGGCTTGCATGGCAGGGGCTTGCATGGCAGGGGCTTGCATTGGAGGGGCTTGTATGGGAGGGGCTTGCATTGGAGGGGCTTGTATGGGAGGGGCTTGCATGGCAGGGGCTTGCATTGGAGGGGCTTGCATGGCAGGGGCTTGCATGGGAGGGGCTTGCATTGGAGGGGCTTGCATGGCAGGGGCTTGCATGGCAGGGGCTTGCATGGCAGGGGCTTGCATGGCAGGGGCTTGCATTGGAGGGGCTTGTATGGGAGGGGCTTGCATGGCAGGGGCTTGCATTGGAGGGGCTTGTATGGGAGGGGCTTGCATGGCAGGGGCTTGCATGGCAGGGGCTTGCATGGCAGGGGCTTGCATGGCAGGGGCTTGCATTGGAGGGGCTTGTATGGGAGGGGCTTGCATGGCAGGGGCTTGCATGGCAGGGGCTTGCATGGGAGGGGCTTGCATGGGAGGGGCTTGCATGGCAGGGGCTTGCATGGCAGGGGCTTGCATGGGAGGGGCTTGCATGGGAGGGGCTTGCATGGCAGGGGCTTGCATTGGAGGGGCTTGCATTGGAGGGGCTTGTATGGGAGGGGCTTGCATGGCAGGGGCTTGCATGGGAGGGGCTTGCATGGGAGGGGCTTGCATTGGAGGGGCTTGCATGGCAGGGGCTTGCATGGCAGGGGCTTGCATGGCAGGGGCTTGCATGGCAGGGGCTTGCATGGGAGGGGCTTGTATGGGAGGGGCTTGCATGGCAGGGGCTTGTATGGGAGGGGCTTGCATGGCAGGGGCTTGTATGGGAGGGGCTTGTATGGGAGGGGCTTGTATGGGAGGGGTGGCTTACAGCAGGAAGAA